GTCCCTTCAAAAAAGAAGGAAGCTAAAGTTCAAACCATATAACCTAAACAGATAATATTGTTGCTAAGCGAAGTCATATCAGTTTTAACGTCAGTTCAGACGTATAAAAAACCTTACCTTAGTTATGAACGAACATAAGTTTTTTTTAAATCCGATAGCATACATTTTTAAAAAGGCTTACATTTGAAGAAAGTAGAAATGTCGCTTTTTCATCAAAGAAAAACTTATGTTCCCTTCAATCCCTTTCCATTTCACTTCCAATTCCCATTTATCGCACCTGTAATATCCTTGCGGGGTAAACTGTTCATCTCCCTGCTCGTTTCCTTTTTGAATTGCCAATTAGACAGAAACTCATTTCAAATCCCTCTTAATTGCAAAAAATCTTAAGCCCCTTTTGGCGTGCATATTCTCTGTGAATTTGAGAGCGTTTTTGTACGGTTTTTGAATTTCAAAGAACATATCATATGTTCAGATAAAATGACAGAATCACACAAATATATATATTCATTTTAATAAAAAAGAGAAAATGTAAAAAAGCCTTTACTGCGTTGTGTGAAAAAACGTTTAAAAAAACTAAATCAATTTGCTATTTGCATTGGCTGCCAAATCCCTGTTAAGCGCAGAAACGCCACAGAAACACACTCAAAAGTTTTCAAAAATCACTGACAAAAAGGCCACGCCATGTTTAAGTTTGAAAACATTGGCCCCAGACCATTACTTGAATATCCATTTGGGGGAAAAGACAGGAAAGTCATTAACTTTTAATTTGATCGTTTATAAGCGCAGTGCCAGATTCCGGAGCAGATGCATTTGGGAATGCAAATCTGGCTAAAGAGGGAGCGAGAGCTGATAATTGCGGTGCGCCAATAAAAAGCGAATTAAGCTAATTGCCAAATTTTCGAAATCCCCAAAAACAATGGCAATAGAAAGCAGTAGCAGCAGCAGTAGCAGCAGCCGCAGCAGAACAAAGATGGCCAAAAAGTAACATAATGCCGAAAAGAATAATGAAAGTGGAGCAAAATGCGAAACTGCTGTAGAGGGGCGCACATGTTGCCAAAACTTTTCCACCCCCACCCCACCCACTTTAATTTCCTCTAGTCTGCAACTCTATAAGAGTACAAGTAAAGTGTAATTACAGCCAAAAATTGATAACACAGAAAAATGGGATATAGAATGTGTTCATTGGGCCTTCCGCCAGCAAGTATAATTAAAGCTATGGCTCATAGATTGGCATATATGGTCTAAGAAAGTGGGTCAAGCATATGGTGTAATTAACCTAATTGACAGGGCATAGAATCTGTCTTAAATACCAAACTTTGAAATACACTGTGGGCCTCAAATTTAATTAGACCACATTGCCTGCAAAAATCTTGAAAGGTGTTATTAAACTGAACAATGTTTCCACATTTGTTTGACAATTATAATTTTATTTTTAACAACACGATATTTTTGATGCTCAGTTTTCAGTTCGCTAACATGAAAAGGACCTCAATTATCAAGTAAATCAAGTATAAACAACCGCATATTTAATTTCGACAAAATTAGATTGCCAAAGAACACGAACGTTATCTTGAACCACAATAGATTTCCGGTCATTTCCATCAAATTAAGCAATTTGCCGGATTGCAGCACAGCTGACGATTGGAGTCCAAGTGTCTATGCAGAAATATGTACATTGATGTGCATAATGTAAATGTACACGGTTGAGGGTAATTACTCCTAAGTGGGCTATTTAACTAAGGACCTTACACTCGACAAACGCAAGCATGAATAAACGTAATTCAAGGTATTAGGACAAAAAACATTGTTTATGACTAGACCCTGAAAAAAGGCAATTATAAGTGTGAGGCTATGTATGTGTGTGTGCTGGACGTGAGTGTATGTGTGAGATATAAAATATTTAAAACACAACGTTCCGGTAATAAAGCTTTGCCTGTCCCAACTCGATTCCCGTCGGTGCCCTCGTTATTTGTACCCTCTGTCCCTTTCCGTCCTGTCATTGAAAATGAGTGTAATTTATGTATTAGCGTGTGCCCATGTGTATGTGTCTGAGTATGTGTGTTTGGTGTGTGGTGTGTGTATGCCAGCCGCATAATAAAACATGCAAAAATATGCAAATTGCCGCAGTCAACGCGATGAACTTTCATTACGCCTTGTTCCCGTCGCTCTAAAGAGCATTTTCCGCTTTTCCCTCGACTGGCCCAGAAAATCGATTAAATCACTTAAAGAGTTTATCGAACTTTATTATGCCAGAGCCAGAAACACAGTGAAATCCGTTTTCAAACTATTTTCACGAGGCACACTAAGACTTTTTGAGAAGCGCGGAGAGAGGACCGCTGTGCGAAAGAGACGGAAGAGGAGACAGGAACGATGTGCATAATTTTAGCACGCTAGATTGTCGTTTAAAATGAGTTAAGCCCGGGCAATTGCTGCAATGCGGAAAAGTTCCCAAAGCCTTAGACTGAGTTGGATTTTCGAGTCCAAGTCCTGTTCGGTTGGACGTGGCTCGTCAGGACGAAACTGGCGTTATAATGAGCAAACAATAAAAGCAAACGTCGCTGCACGAAACAATGACGGGAACGAGAACGAGAAAGAGAAGGACAGAGCGGATGGGAAAGAGACGGAGGAGAACACACACACACACACTAACAAAAACCAATTAGATGCAGCGAGGACGGCGAAGGCCAAAGGCGGCACCTGCAACTTTTCGTGTCCCGTCGATGTTGCGACAGGTCGACGGGTCGACAGAACCGGCAGCTCCCATTGTGCTCCTTTTTGGCGAAGGCCAAAGAAAGCTGCTTCAGTCCAACAAAAAACAAGCAAAAAGGTTATCCTAATGACAACTTTCGGTCGCTATGCTAATTGCATTCTCATTGTTAATTACGTGAATTGAAGCAAAATCGTAAACAAACATTCTTCTAGCTTTGACTATTTAATTAGCGCAGCTTGAAATGTAAACAAATATATATTTTCCAAAAAAAAACTGAAGTTTGATTTTTTTCAGTTGTTTTTGGATTTATATCTACAGCTTAAAAACAAAATACAAACATCAAATTGTCCGGTTTTACTTAATGGTGATTTTAATGTGCTATGATATAACTCCAAAAGTCTTTGTTTAAAGACATAAAGAAATTACCTTATACGTGGAAAACAAATTACTTGGGGACAAATAGTACAATTTTTTGAATTTCCTTTATTTTCCCAAAGTTTTTTCATAGCTGATATATTCACAATAGATTTTATGATTCTGATTCAAGATCCCTGCCCATTAACTCCACTTGGGAAATGGTTTTTATTGGCCGTTAGCCCCACCTGTCCCCCGTCTGCTGCTTTGGCAACCCCCTTCCGTTTTCTTCACCGACTCCCCTGCTTTCGGTACTTCCCCCCACTTTCACTTTTCACTCACCGCGTGACTTTTACAGCCTCTTAATTTAAGCACTCGCCTGCCAAAGTATCAGTGGGTTTCCAGGGGGTCTAATGGGAGCAGTATTCGACGGAAAAGGGGGTTGGGAAAAATTAATTTGTTGCAGACGACGCTTTTAATGTGGCTTTTTGTTAAATTAATGTAGCTTTCGCTAGTCGCTCTCGTTCGACTCCCGTTTTCATTTTCCCGCTCACGTTCACCGTCACGTAATTCCCATTTTCCATTCCGGTTTTCAGTGTACCTGCCACGCCCACGTGCCGCCCTGTAAATTTGATAGATTAATGGAGGGCTGTCGTAGGCCAACCCATAAACACGACCGAAAATCACACAATGCGCTCAACTTTGCAAGGCCATCATCACGAAATTCTATTGAAATTCCTCCTCATTACTCATTTACCTTCTTGGCTTAAATTATGAACATGTAATTTCCAGAAACAGGGTTGCGTCAATCTAAACCAAACTTACTTCTAGTTCGCGCTTATAATATTTACATAGGTTAACATATAATTAAATATATTTTACAAGAAAAAGAATTTTATCTTTTACAACTATTTTTTATTGGTGCCCCGGAAAGAAATTTTTTTGGAAACACATGGAGCGTCATTCTTATAAGAACTAATTATTATTTAATAATTTTTTAATTTTTTCAGTATTAAGATTTTTTACATTAATTCCTATTAACGTTTTCCTAGCAAGGTAAAATCTTTTAAGTAGGAATTCATCGTTGATAAGTAATATAGGCTTATCGGTTGCTAACTAGAAAAACTTAAACAAATGTTGATAGTTCGGCCACAGAACCTCTATATTTTCCAGCTACAAAATCTGGTGGTTCATCCCGCCGCATAGAGCACTAGATGATGATTGCTTTGCCTAGGGTTTTACCAAGTTGTGTGAATGAAGGTGCTTAGATTCCGATGCCAACAGCACAGCCATTTCCGGCCAGACAATAAGCGGTCGCTCGGAATTTCCGTTTCTATTGTTTGGGTTTGATTCTGTTTTTCCATATTTATTTTCACTGGCTGCCTTTATTTTATTGCTGCCGGAGCTCGGCAAGGACAAAGGCAAAGCCAAAGCCAAAGCCTCTAACAAGCGCGGGAGCCAATTCGATGCACAAACAGAAATCAAAAGGACAAAATAAAAACAAGAAAATCTCATTTATCTTCCCAATGTGGCCGCCGGCGCATTCAATGACATCCAAGAAGACATGTCAAACTTTTCCCCTCAATGTTGTCGTTTAGCTTAATGGAATTTGTCGCTAGCATTTAGCTCGCCAACAAGTCGTATGTGTGTTGACTTGTACATAAAGAGCAGCAATTGATAAATATGTACTTTATAATACTCCAGATGCTTTTTCTTTAATGCATAACAAATGCACTTGTAGAAATTTGTAAGAAAGAAATTCAATCAAAAGTGTACAGTTTTGCAGGTAATTGAAATTTACTGGTAAAAGCATTTTGCCTCAGGCATTTTATTGTTGGATAAATTAGCCATCAAGGCTACTGTGATAGCATTAAATATTAAGCAGTTCATATGGTTTTAAATTTGCTTTAATAATTATATTTTTTTCTTCTTTTAGATAACGAACTGTATTCCGGAACCGTGGCGGATTTCAGTGGCAGCGATCCGATTATTTACCGAGAACCCCTGCAAACCGAGCAGTACGATAGCCTAAGTCTCAACGGTAAGTTTTACTGGGTGCGATTGTAGCCACTTGTGGTAATTGAAAATGTCATGGACCCTGTCAGGCTGGCACTTCCGATTTATAAGCGCAGTGCGAGTCCTGCGGCCCCAGCTGCCCGCTCCCTTCCGCCTCTCATGACTCCTGTCGGTGTCCTGTCGAATGTCAGTTTGCGATGGCGCGCGATTGCCTTTTGCATATTTCAAGGGCCTCGGCCATGGTCCGCTTCCATTAACTGAATCTCAGTCCGAACCGACGTGGCACGCTCGGCTGTCATTTACCAGCGAAGATGTGCGACAGACTTCATAATTTATATTGAAAAGTCCTGTTTCGAAAACGATGACTTGTACGCATCCTAAATGATTTTCTGGAGGCTAATAGCTTACAGAAGTTGCAATAATTTTGGTCGTCTTAATAAATATTTAAGTAAGCTATTCAAGGCAACCAAATTGTTTAGAAAGTAAAGGCTAAGAAGTACTTTAATTACATCATAAAATACCCAAAATGTAAATTTTATAACTTTTACCATAGTTTACCAAAAATACTTATTATTATTCATTTACATTTTGCTATTTAAAAGACTAGTGAATCTTCATGCAACCATTAAACCAAAATGATGCCTTACATACATAAAAATCAATATTACCGGCTGATGTCATGTAGTAAATAGCAAATACTAGAGTACATCATAAATTCATGAAAAATTGACAGCTATAAAAATGTTTACAATCTCAAAAACTATAAATGAATTTGATGATCAAACTTTTTGCCATTTTATTATTTTGCAGCACCGAACTTTGTGAGCTCATTTACGCAGGGCGACTTTGTCTATTTCTTCTTTCGGGAAACCGCTGTGGAGTTCATCAACTGTGGCAAGGTGAGTACATCTACACACACGACGAGTTTTCCAATCAATTTCGAGAGTAACAACAAATGCAGCCGAATGCAAGGAAAATACAAACAAAGTTGGACAGAATAACTGCTGATGCTTGGTATTTTCCATTGGTTTATTTATGCTCCGCAGATTGTTGAATTTGTTGGTTCCCGATTTCTAGACAATTGCTGGCCTTAAGCTGAGCTGAATTAATATCTTATCTTTAAATGGTATTTTCAGGCGATTTATTCGCGCGTTGCCCGCGTTTGCAAGTGGGACAAAGGTGGCCCGCATCGATTCCGCAACCGCTGGACATCCTTCCTCAAGTCCCGCCTCAACTGCTCCATTCCCGGCGATTATCCTTTCTACTTTAATGAAATTCGTAAGTTATTTGTTACTTTATTTTCATTAATTTAAATTTAACATAATACGTTTGAATAGAATGAAATTTATAACTAACTTTTTTTGGTTTTTTTGTTACATATTATAATTAAACTTGTAAACAGTTTATAACCCTGATATTTGCTTACAGTTTTTTGTCTTTTAAAGTAAATTAAATGGAAACAGTTTTTATCTCTACTTAATTTTAATAAAATGCAAATGCTTAAAAAAAACTATTTAATGGAATGAAGAAATGTGATTAAAGCGCAATCCTTTTTTTTATTATTTTCCTGCTATAAAATTAAAACAAAACATTTTGGTTTTTTTTTTTCATAAAATACGAAATGCTTAGCTAAATTAAATATATATTTTCGACATATCCAGAATCGGCAAGCAATCTGGTGGAGGGACAGTATGGCTCTATGAGCTCGAAGCTGATCTACGGAGTCTTCAACACGCCGACCAACTCGATTCCCGGCTCTGCGGTTTGTGCCTTTGCCCTGCAGGTGAGTCGACTGCCATTGAATTGTTTCTTCAAATGGAAAATTAAATTTTCGGGTCCTTCCTTGCCACTTTTCCACAGGACATTGCCGATACGTTTGAGGGCCAGTTCAAGGAGCAGAGCGGCATAAGCTCCAACTGGCTGCCAGTGAACAATGCCAAGGTGAGTCCTTTTTCTTAAGCATCGAAATCCCAATCCCAAACTTCTGGCCACCGCACTCCAGCACATCTGTTGCCTTGGAAATTTATGACTTATGGCCGGCTTGCCATAAAAATGTATTCTTCGTTTGGCACAAAATTTGCATTTGCATCTCCAAAGCTTTTGCCAATTTCCAGCAGATGACTGCACATGTCGCCATCGATTTGGGGTTTAACTTCATTTGCCATGAGGTTTTGGAACTCCAAAGGGGTGTTCAAGCTGGGAAGAATTCCTTATGATTTTAAGGGAAATTCCAATGTCTGATTGAATAAAAAATTATACATTTACAATTTTTTTAAATTTCATTAAAGTAAAAAAATAATAATTTACTTACCTATTTTACCCATTTAGGTTCCCGATCCTCGTCCTGGTGCCTGCAGCAACGATTCGAGAGGACTTCCGGATCCCACATTGAACTTCATCAAAACGCATTCTTTAATGGACGAGAATGTCCCGGCATTTTTCAGTCAACCGATTTTGGTCCGGACGAGCACAATGTGAGTAACTGCATTCAAGCATATGCGCATGGTCCTTATTTCGTTGCTTCGTCACTTCCGTTTCCGGTGAGGGATCAAAATTGTTAGCGCTAAATAAATCTACAGACACTTGGCTAACTTTAGCTGGTTAAGTGGTTGCTGTGGTTTTAAAATATAGAGATAACATAGAAGTAATAAATATAACTTATTTCATATTTCAACTTTTGTCAAATTTTCAACTTTTGTTAAATTTAGGGATATTATGGTCACATACTTACCATTTTTCAACAGAAATACCCTTCGATAGATTTGCAATCACACGAGTTCATTCCGCTCATGTTGCAGCATCTGTTTCAGTTTATGGAAATTCGATAAGGTGTTAGTCAGCGCAAATAACCGTAAACTGTAGCAAACTGAACTGCAGGCGGAAAGAGAACGGGCGGGTTCTTGCCATAAATTATTTCCCAGCGATTTCGCCATCTTTTTGGCCGTAGGGAGAATTTAAAAATTCAATTTGGTAACTTTTCCATGTAATTGAGCCACAATTATGGCGAAAAGCGGCGAGATGTGTGCTGGCAAAGCGGTGAAACTTTAAAGAGGGCTAAATCATAGGCGAGCCACTGAGCACCACTTTCGCAAGGAGAACCATTGCCGCATAGTGGGTTAACATTATGATTTTTTGGCATAAAATAGTACTTAGATAGCAAGCTTATTTATTGCCCTGATAATTTAAAAAAATTGTTTGGATCTCTGATAGTACAAATAACGTAGCGAGTATTAAATTGACAAACATGTTTTAAAGATACATTTTTAACCAAACCTATCACATATTTTTAAAATATGATTAAAACAATTGGTAGACATCTCAAAACAAATAACGAAATCGTTTATCAATTTAAATATTATAAAATTTATTTAAACCGTTCAAAAAAAATATCCCTTTTATGAAGCTTCTTTGGTTTTAGTAACCATATTTCGTGTATCCCAAAAATATAATATTTAAAGAATATTCGTTGGGTTCCACTGTGTTGGGATCCATGAGGTGGCTCAGGTGGTGGGGCAGCTGGAGCTCCGGCTGCCTTTGCGATAGTTTGAAGCAAACGAAGCGAGCCAGCCAGAAGGAAATGCATGGATGCGCCGAGGAGGCAACCCGTAACGAAAATATGTATGCACAACTGAATAAATTAGAATGAAATATGGAACACGTAGCAACAACGCAGTCTGCGGACCTGCAGCTCCTGCTCCTGCTCCTCCGTATCCGAATACCCATCCCCATCCGCATCTACATCCGCATTCGCATCCGCATCGGCGTCCGCATCCACCGAACATTTTGTGTGCCACATGAGCACACCACAACAAATGTGAAGTAAAGTGGGCGAAGGGGGTCGGCCACTTTCTGCAACTGCAACTGACTCATTGCATTTTCGGGAGGGCTGCACCAGCGGATGCTCCGCCCGAGGACGTGGGCGTGGATCGGAATTTAATCAAGACCCCGGGACACTCAATTCAAACCCATAAAAATGCGCAAAAGTTACTTCACCCGTTTTTCAGCTGAGCTTCTGCTTCTCTCATATGGCAGCACGTCAGCTTTTGGCTTTCTCTTGATTTAAATCCGGCAGCCTTAAATTGTGATTTAATATTTCAAATCATGATGAAGCGTCAACGTCAGTTCATAAATCCATTTATTAACTGGGTCATAAACGTGGCTGCGTAATTAAGGGAGAGTCAATACTTAATCACCTCCGAGGATGCGGGTAAACACAAATTCGTTAACGGAGCAATGTTTGTTGAATCAATTAACTCGATTGAATTACAATATACACTTTCATAAAGGCCTGATATATTTTTAATGCTGAAATACAGTGAAAAACAATTTAAAGTTGGTTGGTAGAATGTAAAATTTTTTGTAAAAATACAAAATACTTAAAATTCAACTAGGAAAAAGCACCATGTTTTACCCCAAAGTCCATGAAGTTCATTGGCTTTATCTGATCCCCTCGATTTTGCCACATCGTTAACAGCTTAGCGGTCTTCAAGCCAGGTCAAAGTCCTAATGTCCAGACAGTGTTGTTGGGGAATTAATTTATCATATTTCCGAATTCAGTTCGAACAATACGCATAAATAATTGCCGAGTTGAAGCCAGAACGACATACCGCAAAACGAGGGCATCGATACTTTGAGCTGGATATTTTGAGGGGATTTATTGAACGCAAATGACGAAATCAAATCAAAAATTCACCGGAATTTATGGCATTTGTCCGAGACATAAATTTATAATAATTTTTGCTTTTGGGCCTCCGAAATCGTCGTTTGGCCTGGCCATTTCCGCTGCTCGAGTGCCAGCTGCCTGTGGCTGGGCGTGGCTTAAATAAATCTCGGAAAGAAGCAGATGATGATTTGCATAGTGGGCCGTTGGGCCGTTTCGTTCGGTGAAAGTTTGTGGAAAGTTGAAAGCCCTGCCCGACAAAAGTTGAATGTCCCAGCCGGTTGGGCAGCTCGGTCTCCATTACAAATTGTTTCCTGACGCCGACCGGAAGAATCCCCATATTCAACCGATTTCTGCCAGCCGGCTGACCATATCCCTGCGTCCATTTCATCCTGTCTGAAGGTATCGCATTGTCCTTAACGTGTTCTTATCGCTTTCTCTGTCAATTTCGGGGTGGTGACTTCGCCTGCATGAGGCGGACAAATAACGACTAAGTTCCCTCCCATTGCTTCTCGTTCTTCTCGCTTGTCTGCCGACTTTGCCGTCATCGTCGCCCTTTGAACTCATCGGAGCGATACAAAAGTTGGCAACGTTTTTGCAAGTTTCAATTGCCAGGACTTTGGACTTTGACCCGGACCAGGACGTGTTCCCAGGTCCTATTTACATAGCTGTTTTTTTTTTTCATTTTTCTGTGTACTTATTTGCTTTGCATATGGTTAACTTTTACGTTGGCCTTTATTTATATTTAACTTATTACCATAACTCGCACCTATAAAGTGGTTATTATGCATATTATTTTCTTTCTTAAATTTTATTTTAAATGAAACTAAAAATATTTCAACCGAAAAGCTTTTACTGAGCATTTGCTTTGGTTCAACTTATTTCTATAAAATTTGTTGAATTCCTGTCTAAAAGCTGAAATCAAATGTTTTTGCGAGAATAAACTTAATTTGAAAAACCCTGGAAATTCCATCCGTAACATGCCTGAGAAGAAAACTTTATTTAATAAATGATTCGCACAAATGTTGAGCAATTTAGGAATTGTTGCTCCACACAAGCCGGAGCACCAAAAACAAGACTAGTTAATTAACAATAAAAAAAAAGAGGAGAGCAGCATTTCCAGGGCCCAGCTCCCAGCTCGCAGTTTCTATTTGGGAGCTTCCATTTGTGCTGCCAGGCATTTGCATTTAAATCGAGGCAGAAGGCATGACAGCAACAATGGACGGCGACCAGGCCACAAATGTTGCAACAACAACACGGCAATGGGGCGTTGGACGGGCGTCGTTTTTGCGGTGAAATCAGAGGGAAATTTTCGTTTTTATTTCATCTACTTGTGTTGTTGTTTCGAATATGTTTTTTCCATAAAAACACAAACTGTTTGTTGTTGCTTTTGCTGTTGCTGCAGCAGTTGCTGCCGTATGTATGTATCTTATGTTGGCAGTCATGTTGCAATGGTAGTCGTTTGTTGGATTCCTCGACTTTAACCAGTCCTCCAACCAGCCAGATAGCCAACCAGCCACATCCTTTCCCTTCACATCCTGACAGCGACGACCATTTTGGCGTCTGTCCATTATTAATGGACATCTAACCGAAATGACGGACATACGTCCATTGTCAGGAAAACTGGCGAACACAATGTCACAAAACAAAGAAAACATCCATTGACATTCTGTCCTCCATTTAGATGCTAACCACCACAGTCGTTGATGAAAGAAATATTACATAGAAATGAAATCGGATAGCAAAAGTAATTAAGAAGCTGATAAAATACGGACAAAACAAAAAACTAAATATTTTCCTTGTCCTTAACATTCCTTATTAATTTCTCGTGTTCTTCCACAGATATCGCTTTACCCAAATTGCTGTGGATGCTCAGATTAAAACTCCGGGCGGCAAGACATACGATGTTATTTTTGTGGGCACAGGTGTGTAGTAAATACAGAAAAGAAACAACTTTCAGTTGGTTTAAATATCTACAAAAATCTTTAAATATTCATCTTTAATATTTTAACAGATCACGGGAAAGATTATTAAGTCAGTGAATGCGGAATCCGCAGATTCTGCGGAAAAGGTTACTTCGGTGGTCATCGAGGAAATCGATGTGCTGACCAAGAGTGAACCCATTCGCAATCTTGAGATTGTTAGAACCATGCAGTACGGTAAGTGTAGTTTTTAAAGTATTTTATAAGCCAATGCAATTAACCCTTGTTTGATCCGCAGATCAACCCAAAGATGGCAGCTATGACGATGGCAAATTAATCATTGTGACAGACAGCCAGGTGGTGGCCATACAATTGCACCGTTGTCACAATGACAAAATCACCAGCTGCAGGTGAGTGTCAACCCGCCCCCCCCCCCCCCCCCCCCCCCCCCCCCTTTTCCCTGCCTCTGATCAACCAACTCCAGACAATGGCATTTTTATTATCATGTAACAATTTGCGTGACTCCCGTGTCGCTTGTCAGACACTTGACAGCCTCAATATGCAGTATATTCGTTGGGCTTACACTTGACTTTCAGGATTTGAAAATTAGCTAAACAGAAAAAAAGAACGTTTAATTTAAAATTCAAACAAGACAAAATTCTCTTCTTTTTGATAAGCTAAAAGAAGACTTAAAGTTAAGCTAACCAATCGAATTTTACGGTTTAAAATCTTATACAAATTTGTCATAAAAAATGATTAAAAGGAAAACTCCATAAATAGGAAGAGAAACTATTAAAGCAAATTCAACCCCAATTTTGATGATAAATTTTTTAATAAATAACTATCAGTGAAAAATTTAAAAAAAAAAAAGAAATGTAGCTATTCTTGATATTTAAATTGTCATGTATCGAAATTTTTGGTTAAACATATTTTTAAATATTCTTTAGTGGTATTCCCCTCTATGTTTTTTTCTGAGTGCACGTATTTAACCAGAATTTTTCGTCTGTTCGCAGTGAGTGCGTCGCATTGCAGGATCCGTACTGCGCCTGGGACAAAATTGCTGGCAAGTGCCGTTCGCACGGCGCCCCCAGATGGCTGGAGGAGAACTATTTCTACCAGAATGTGGCCACTGGCCAGCATGCCGCATGCCCCTCAGGTGAGTGCCACTCCGAGTGGGGTTCATCCTCCTCAGCTGGACCGAAAACGGAGCCAAGATTAACGCCCTTCTGGTTGCACAGGCAAAATCAATTCGAAGGATGCCAACGCTGGGGAGCAGAAGGGCTTCCGCAACGACATGGACTTATTGGATTCGCGGCGCCAGAGCAAGGATCAGGAAATCATCGACAATATTGATAAGAACTTTGAAGGTGATTTACCTGAACGCTTTCCCCCCAGCATATTCTTTATCATATTTATTTTGCATTCGCTCGTTTTTTGTTATGCACGTACTTGCTTGTCACTTTACCCGGAGTTTTCTTCTCCAACCCCCTTTCCCCCTCCCCCTTTTCGACCCCCTTGGCAACCTTCAACCTTTGCTTACTCTCTGCTAACCTGTGTTGTCTACATTGCAAATCACATTTTCATTTTCTCGAATATTCCCCGGCTTGTTGGCACTTTATGCCATTCAACTCCCACCCAAACTGCTGCCATGCACTTTATTTAAAGCGAATTCGTTTTTTATGAGCTGCAATTCGCTTTTAAACCTTGCCTCTTGAGAAAACCTTTTGTCAAATTTCATATATTGCAGTATATATGGTTATTTTCTTTCAAGTCGGCTTCATGTCTTGTTATTTAAAGCTCGAGTCTGTAAAACACTTTAATTCTAAAAAGTTTGGCGAGTTTGTTAAAACTGAAAGAGAAAAAACGACAGTTTCTGTCAAATATTTGTATATAAATAACACATAATTAATGTCATTTGTGTCAATCAAATAACTATGTTTCCAAACAAAATATATAACCACTGTCAAATATTAATACACTACTAATATTTTTGCCTGCATAACTTTTCAAATATTTTCTTAACATATAAACTTGTGTTTGCTTTTTCAAACGTTCTTTTAAACTAATCTTTATATATCCATTTTATACTCGTTGTTGTACGATTGTACTAACTGTTCTTATTCGTATTTTTCTTGTTTCTTTTTCGTTTAATTTCTGAACAATTACCGTGCAATTACCTTATACCGTGCGTTCTAAATTCGATGTTTGGATGTTTATTGATGTCGTTGCAATAATGGACCACCTCCATAAAAACCCCACACTGAAACCAAAACCGACCCACCTGAAATCCAAACCAACAAACCGAACAAAATCGTTACATAATTGCTGTGATTTGAAATGTTTGTTAAATGTTTTGCCTAATGCACATTGTATCGCTGCGAAACGAACGATCGAACTTTGATTTTCCATTTACTAACCGAAGGTCCCCAAATATCCGCAGATATAATCAACGCCCAGTACACGGTGGAGACCCTTGTGATGGCCGTCTTGGCCGGCTCGATCTTCTCGCTGCTGGTCGGCTTCTTTACAGGATACTTCTGCGGTCGACGCTGTCACAAGGACGAGGACGACAATCTGCCATATCCGGATACGGAGTACGAGTACTTCGAGCAGCGCCAAAACGTCAATAGGTGGGTTTTTATTAGATTAAAAACAAGGAAGAATTATGAAATATTAGGTTCAGAATTGATTATAATACAAACTTTCGTAAACTTTATTTTAACATAAATCATGTTACTTTTAGAAAAAATCTTGAAAGGCAGAAACTTTCTTATTTCATTTTTACCGTGTGCTGTTTATCCAGAAATTTGCAATTTAAATAATTTATATAGTACTTTTAAACAAATTTCAAGATGACTCCCCTAATGATCGCCTTATCTGTTGCCAAAAAGCAGGCAATGTTTTTTTTTCACTGAAAGTCCTGGATTTTATTTGAAGATCACTTACTATGATATTATTAAAATTAATTTATAATTTTGATGCAGTCTTTACAAGTATAAAATCAAACTTTTCAGTTATTACAATATTAAAAGCTGTAATATAGAACTTTGATGCTGGCCCAAAACCAGCACTTGAAAGCCCATAACTTATCTAAATATTGCCCGATTTTTGATTAGTGTGCCTTAAAATGCTTGTCACATAGTTCCCTAACCACATTATTAGTTTGGTTTAGAAAAATCGTCATAGCTTTGATGTGGTTTTCCTTCACGTATTTTGTTTGACATATTTGATGACTGCAAGGGTTTATAACCCTTCGACTCGGCCAGCTGAAGCTACCTTCCATTTTTGTTAAGAATACAATCAAACAATAATACCTCTTAATCCTTTTTGTTGCACCCGCAGCTTCCCCTCCTCCTGTCGCATCCAGCAGGAGCCCAAGCTGCTGCCCCAGGTGGAGGAGGTGACGTATGCGGAGCCGGTGCTCCTGCCCCAACCACCGCCACCAAACAAGATGCATTCTCCGAAGAACACGCTGCGCAAGCCGCCAATGCACCAGATGCACCAGGGTCCCAACTCGGAGACGCTCTTCCAGTTCCAACCGGATGGATACAACACACAGCAATCGTATCGCGGTCGCGACAACTTCGGAACACTGCGTTCCCATCAGGTGATGGTGAGTACTTGTTACTTATAAAATTATATGGCTATCCTAACCGCGATTTCCCATCTACAGGGTGACAACTATAGGCGCGGCGATGGCTTTTCCACCACCCGCAGCGTCAAGAAGGTGAGTTGAGCCATCATTTTTAACGATCTGGGAGAGCAAAGCGATTTGTTTTTATTTTCCGACTATCGTATCGTAACTAAAACTAATCTCTAACCGTAACCATTGCGCTCTTTTCGATGTTGTTCAACATACATTTATTGACATTAGTTAACTAACTTGCTCGTCAATCGAGAGTCCTTGTGCTGCGCTTGTATTTGATTGAACTCTCCTCACACAATCGTCGATTGGTGTATTTCTTAGCCTCACCTTTTCTATCTGTGTGTGTGTTTTTGGAGGAGTGTGGGCGATTATCTCGCCACTACTCCCTTTATGTGTGTGTTTAAGTATAGAGCACCATAACTATCGCATAATCATCATATATCATTACCATAAACCATATATGTTGTTATTATCGTTGTAACTATTGTTGTTGTGATATTCCTTTTCATTTTTAAGTACCATTGCATGACTTATTATTTGTTCAACAATTATATCATATTAGTTTGGTTTTATATTAGTTACTGGAGACAATAAACCTTCTCCTGGGAGTGTGGCATATTATAACTGTCCTGAAAACTTCCCTCAAAGTCCTGTAAATAAGTATATAAAACTGGTTTCCTGCTGGCTTAAAATCATCATCTTTCGTTATCTTAGCCATTATCCTCATCAGTCATGATCAAGCGCATGTTAGATACCATCTTGAAATCACCCCATTTCATAAAGCCTATATGTCTTGGGTTATCTCGTAAAGTTGGAAATACACCAATCGTTCGAATCGAGTGGGTTTGGATCCTCGCAGGCCTTTATTTTTACCCTGTCTCTGTCTAAGCATTTTGTATAGTTACAATCTTACCATCTCCTCACTCTATTTCAACTCAAAGAGAAACTCTTTCTATCGATACTAACTTTTGCATACCAACAACAACAACAACACAAAGAAACTGAAAAAAAAACATAAAATCTATCTCTATCTTTTCTCTATTCTTCTTCCCCTTTTTACATTAGGTTTACCTTTGAGACGGGAGTGGGGCGGCTGAAACCAGTCAGGGACTAATTACCCAAAATATGGTAAATACTTATTTATAACTAAAGCCATTTCAGTTTGTTTATTTTTAACCCGTTATTGTTTAATTTTTGTTTAATCCCTTATCGGTTACTTTATTGGTGGGCTTTTGTTTGCTATGATTATTAATCTGGACATTGTTTTGCTCAAAAGCTGCAATACGGAAGCTCTCTTCGCAACGAGCTGAACCGAAATTCAATAGGCAAAAAGTAATTTTCCAAAACTCCCCGATTTCGCTCTCTTTTCGTAATTTATATTTGAAATTTGGAGCACCACTGCAAATTTTAGTTATCATTTTTCGATAGATATTTAGGCACTGTTGCAGAAGCTTTGTTGTTTGCTATCTACCTCTCTTCTCACTCACCGTTTATTTTGGTTCACTATTACACGTTTTCGAATGGCGAAAAGGTTATCGATCAATCAGTCGTTCAATCAATTGGTCAATCAGGCCAGTCCAGCCCAGTCAGCCATCCCGCGCCCAACTCGCTTCGCAATTCGCCAACGCCAGCGCTTCCTTCAACCTTTGTTTGACCTCTGAGTGCCTGAGTGTGTGTGTATGTGTTGGATGGCTAAATATGGCGCCATCCGATTTACCCAATACCCATACTATATTCCCCCCAATCAGAAACCCAGTGAAACCACTTAAAGCCTTCTGCATGGGCGCCAAACTCCCAATCCAATGAACCAATTATACCAAAGTTCCTCAGGAACATCACAAAAAATAAGAGCGTGTGTGTGTGCATCTGAAAACACATTTGATATTTAAGAAACAAATATAATATATCCTGTTAATAATAAAAATACTCCCCCACCAAGATACATGTACTTATTTTGCTTTCGTTTCTATATGGTATATGCTACAAATATATTTTTTTTATTTAATGCTTGCCCACTAAAAATTCAAGACCCAAAAGTAATCGAAAGATATTGCATTAACACTTAAGAAAACCAAAAATAAAAAACAAAATTTGATTATTTGGGTTCTTAGAACCACACAAAAAACATAACATTGGCTTGGCCTTGCAACATTTGAGAGCAGAAATTGATTGCGAACGTTTTTCCCTAGACTAAATCGAATTAGCATTATAGTTTCTTGTGTTTTATTTCCTTCAACATTGACATGTTTAACATTTTCCAAAATTATTCTTGACTATGAAAGAAGAGAAATTGATAAACACTCCAACCCCATAGGCTGTAAACAACACAAACACACGTAACAGAAGTCTTGGTCGCGCAAGAAGACAGCCGCCCCGTCATGGCATTGGTAAGTCCAAATAAAAAAAAAAAACCTGAGTTGCATTAAGTTAGTGTTACCGCTTAACTGGCCAACAGAACCCCACACCTTCGACACAGACACCCACTCTGAAAGTATCTGTATCTGTATCTGTCACCGAGGACTCCTCCCTCTATCCCCTTTACTTCTCTGATCGATCTGTGGTTCGAGACCCTCGAATGGGTTGGACAGTTCTCGAAACTATCTCTCAAATTGCATTATGTTTTGAACACTTTCTTTCCTTACGAAACTGTACCTACATGTTATTTCGTATTTTTTATGTGCTACATACCATATATATTTTCCCTTCCATAATTGATATTTATTTGATTCGTATACCAGTAGTTGCTGTGCGAGTGTTTATGTGCATGTTGCAGCAGATTGATTGTTGTCTTGAACTATGCCCACACCCATAGCATCCACCGTATGTTTTCTTATCCCGAGCATCGATGCAACATGCACCCAAGCACCGAACCCCAATGGATTGCCCGTAACTAATCCGAGTGCCTTCCGGTTTTCCGGTTTTTGCAGTAACTCAACACCGCTCGAATAGCCCCCCAGCAGCAGCTGCAGCAGCAACAGCAACAGCAGCAGCAGCAGCAGCAGTCCCAGCAGCCGCACTCCAGTTCCGGCTCCTCGCCCGTAATGTCCAACAGCAGCAGCAGTCCGGCTCCGCCATCCAGCAGTCCGAGTCCGCAGGAGAGCCCCAAGAACTGCAGCTACATCTACCGTGATTGATTGATATGCAACACCAAATCGATGCCGCTCATCCAGACGCAGTCCGCTGCGAATCCCCACAATTCCAAGACGCACCCGAATCCCAAGCAGCCGTCCCCCGCCACCGGAATGACCACGCCCCCAGCACAGCCACGCCCCCGGAGCCCGATGATCGGCAGGACCTATGCCAAATCCATGCCCGTGACGCCGGTGCAACCGCAATCCCCGCTGGCGGAGACGCCCTCGTACGAGCTCTACGAACGCCACTCGGACGCCACGTTCCACTTCGACGATCAGCAGGACGACGATGAGGATGAGGACGAACAGGACCAGGAGGACTCCTCATCGCTGGCCATGATCACACCGCCGCCGCCCTACGACACGCCACATTTGCTCGCCTCGCCGCCGCTGCCGCCACCTCGTCGATTTCGCTTCGGCAACCGGGAGCTGTTCAGCATGAGTCCTGCCGGAGGCGGAGCCACGCCCACAGCCTCGGGAAGCTCCACGCATCGAGGAGGGGGCGGCGGCAGCAGCAGCGCCATAACGCCCACCAAGCTAAGCGCAGCGGCAGCGGCCATGTTCGCCGCCCCCCAAATGGCCACCCAACTCAACCGGAAGTGGGCGCATCTGCAGCGGCGACGGCGCAGGCGCAACAGCAGCTCCGGCGACTCCAAGGAGCTGGACAAACTGGTCCTGCAATCGGTCGACTGGGACGAGAACGAGATGTACTAGCACACAAGCCGCCAATGAGACAGCAGAAAGACTTCTATTTAAGATAAATTGCATCTAATTTTCCATCTAAAGACAATTTTCGAAAAATTGAAATTAGATTAACTCTCTGCTAAACTAAAAACATTCACAAAGATTTTTAAAGCTCTTGGTAGGCAAATTGGTCAACACATGCGATTTTAAGGTAGTAGTTATCAGGTAACTGATCTAAGCCAACTTCAATGTGAAAGTCAGGGAACTTTCTTCAAACATTTGCGAATGCTTATACAACTGTTAAAAAGCCAATCTAAATTCGAGATTTTTAAGGGTTAACATTTCTTTTAGTTTTTTGGAAAATATTTTGAATAAAATGAGCTAAACGAAAGATAATTCTCATCGGTAGTATTTTAGAATATTTAACCAGTTTGGTAAACAGTAAAGATTCCTTATTTAATTCTTTTTAAAAAATGAAATTCCCCTGACTTACACTTTTAACTTTGAAGAAGTTCACATCTACCTTAATTAGTACACAGGACTCAACTTAAAAGTGGCGATGCAGCTTAAACGTGGCTTTCAATTAGGGCGTATGATTCATCCCTACCTCAATCCCCCTTCCTCTAAAACACAAATAGCAATCGAAGAAATCAGTTAATAGCAGTGGGAACTGGATGGGGTATTTACTTACACACAAAAGCCAGAGAAGTTATACACGAAATTTATAGTTATATAGCCTTTATACATATTCCACGATCTGCTAGGTATACACATGCATAACATTAAATACGTATATATGACTCTATATATACTAACGATGATATAGACACGGTTTAAAAGAAACGGCTACGCTAAATTAGAGCTGCAAACGATATTGTTAATTAACATTAGAGAGAAACCAAAAGTTGTAAATATTAATCCTAATGGTGGACAAGACGTAACGTAATCTAAGCAACCTTATTCGAATAGAGTATACACGATATACAAGATTTTTTGCATTTAACCCAGAGAAATAAAAATAGAAGAAATTTAAACGGCATAACAAATGATTGAGGAAGATGAGAAAACAAAACGAAACGCTTATTACTGATTTACACAAATGAAATAAATTACCCAAATAGTAGGAGGGCGAACAAATTAGTCATAAGCCGTCAAAAGTCGGGGAAATTTAGGGGGATTGCATTCGGGATTCATTCCGAACCGGAATCGCAACTGCCAATCGCAACGCAGCGCTCCCATCGAAATCGAATCCATCGAGTGCATTTTCCATTGTCAATTTAATTTGCAGAGCCTCAAGCTATAGTATAGTACTTTTTCAGACTCCTGTGCTCCAGTCTGCTATAGGAACGTGTAAATTGTGTACAGGACTATACGCATTATTCAACCGATCTGTACAGATACAACAGTATGTGCGATATGTGCCATAATTGGGTGTGTGCCCACCTTGAGTTTAGTTGTTATTGTTTGCATTGATTCAGAATAGTTCTTTACTCAGAACAGAACTCGCTATCTTTGTATATATACGAATATTAATATATATATACATATATGCATGAAGAGGAACACACAAATGTCATGTGAAGTGATCGATCAAAATTTAGTGAAAGCATTAAAACTAAACTTTAGCTTAGCCACATAGGGTTTGTATTATAGATCGGGCCAGAGGGCAGAACAAAACTTTTGAAAATATTTTCACTAGGGGCATTGCTAATGTTGTTCTCGTAATAGAGTATATTAGAAGTAGGCTAAGCTAATCGATATTCAATATTTTGTATGAGAAACATTAAAATCAACCGATCAAACTTGGAAATTGCGTTGCAAGACGAGTAAAAAAAGCGTAGAAATATCTAAATCAAAGCAAATGTATAAACAACAAACACATTATAAAGAGTAGTTTTAAAACCCACACAAGCGTAAGCGTGTATATTAATTAATATATACTTTATGCAGCTGCAATTTAAAGCTTTTTATATGCAATTTTACTTTTTGACAACATGTATACAACCGAAGAAAACAAAAATTTAATATCTCAAAAGGAAAGGAACGCAATTACATTTAGACAGCCAAAGACACAAATGATTAATGAATACGTTTTGATAGTTATTTGTGCTTATTTTTAATTAGTTTTATTTGTAAATACGTATAATTTTAACGAAGTTCGCAACAATCTGATTTCCATCTCGGTTTTTATAGTTTCTAATTTATTGTTTTTCTGTTATTTGTTAAGGATACAGTGTCGAGTACTTTGAAAGCAATACAAACACTTCAAATTGTGTAAGCAAAAAATAAACACGAGGATTCAGACACATAGAGTAGCAGCAGATGGATACAACTTAGGAATACACTAGAGTTTTGAGCTAATTCTAGATCTACATCAACTACTTATACAATTTCATACAAGTATTAACTGAATCAGATCATTAACTTTTATACACTTTACCATTTACATATATACAAGCAAACTGAATGCCGATTACCGATTATTCAATATACAAGGCAAAATCTAACATGTAATTGTAATTTGAAGCCAGGCTGCAATTGAAAGGTTTTACAGTAAATTATGCCTACAGACATAAACCAGCAACAACAGTAACAAGAGCAGAGAATCCATAAGTATATACTTATACATAAATATAGATGACCCATATACATACACTTATTAGATACTTTAGGAGAGAGATTCTCTAGAAATGCTTTTAAATTTAAAAAAACCAAAAAAAGAACAAAAGATGAAATAAAAAAAATAACTGATTTAAGCAAAGTATTTTATTAAAAACCCCCAATAACCAAAAAACAGAGTCAAACGCAAAAAAAAAAATAAAAAAAAAAAAAAACTATAAATTTCTTAAAACTTTCAGCAAAAAGCAAACATTTGTGAGATAAGCCAAGTCAGACACTTTTTTAGATGAGCAAAATTGGGGTTGACGATAACGACGATCACTATGACGTCGTCGAAGATACTTTAAAGATAATTATAAGCTTAATGAAAACGATTTTTAACTTTCTCCGAATAAGACGAAAACAATTATTACCTACAGATTGTAGTGGTCGCATTCATATTTGCTAATTAGCAACTTATTAAACTATAAAGAGCAACCAACATTTAAAAATTAGAACTGAAAGCAGGAACCCAAAAAATTAAAATGATAACAATCCATGACACAACACAACACACCCAAGTTTTCATTTTTCATTAAAAAACGATATATATTCAAGTGCTTCTTACATAAAATAAATATAAATATATATGAAACAAAAATATATAAATGATTACATGATAGATATTATTACGAGCAGGCATTACATTACAAATACCTACTAACTAGACTAAGGCATTTAAAAACAAACTCGATTATTATGAACTTTATTATTATGTTTTGTGAAAACGAGCGAACTATTACAGATAAAGGAAATCAGATTACTGAGCCGATTTAGAGTAAGCACAAGAAGTCTGTACGATGTCTGGTTCCGTTTGGTTTTATAATTTCTAAGTAGCCAGCTCTCTATGCATATAGAATAAATACAAACACACACTGACACGTAATCAATGCATTTTACTTACTTGAAGGCCATCAACAAAACAAAGTTAAGCGAGTTCATGAATTCAATTTATATAATTATGTTAAGATTTTATAACGCAACAAGCCTAACGTATGCATTACAAATATGAATACTATTATGCGAAACTTTGTAAATACTTCACCAACCAAATAAATATTCCTTCATTCAAGCAAACAAGATCAGATCCCCATCTAAAACAAAAAAGAACCGAAATCATTTGATTTTCTCCACACACTCAACATCCTCACACACAATCCCCCCAAGGATGCTTATCGATTAGGAATTATCGAAGCATACGAGCCACGAGTATGTTATCCATTCTTTAGCGGTTACAAATACGTAAGGATAAATTTAAATTGTTGAAAATGTAGCGCAAGAACATAATGAGTAACAAACTTAATGAAAACCCCAAAGCGAATAACAAATATTTAACCAAATAAGTTACGAAAGTTAGACACAAAACGGTACTTCCAAGCAACTATAGAGCTAACAGCAAGCCATTTAAATGAAAGAACTCAAATGCGAACTAAACTGTATGAATTGAATTCCCGCTCCCGAAACAAATCCAACCTGCTGATAGGGCAACCAAAAATAAAGTGACAAAAAAAAACACACAGTTCTGCCGAACAGTTTGAATTGTCAACGGTTCGAGCGAAATGGTTCCCTCCTCTTTCCAATCCTCCATAGAAACCTCCTCTACATAACACCAATTAGGAATTCGTCAAGTTTTGGATTTGGTTCAAGGCAAGCGATTCAAAATGTAACACACGAACACTTAATTATTCACACGAAATATGTGCGGTATCATAAATCAGAACAGCACTGCAAAACGAAGATCTACAGCATGAAGAAGCTATATAAGACAACAACATGAACAACAAAAAATTGTTAGTAAAAAGACTGAGCTACAAAATATACAAGAAAAAAAACAAAGGAAAACAAAAGCTAGAAACAAATCAGTGAATAACTTTGATTCAGTGACAAATTAATTAATGTGCATTTTTGGGTAACGATTTTTGACAAACGAAAGCTTAAAGTTCGTCCCATTCGTATTCGTATGGTTTTGATCAGTCGTTAATTTGTTAAGAAGTTCCTAACACGAAAAGCAGGCAACCCGAATATCAATCAAGGATTCAATCAGTGCTATCAAGCCAAGTTCAATTGTGCACCTGAAAGGGACTTCTGCATTTATTTCTCAGTCCACGAGGGTTACCATAGTTGAAGGAAAGCCGCCGAGCAAAATACGTAATTTGACACATTGTTTTAAGTTCGAATTTGGATTTGAATTAAGAGGCTTCTTTCCTTTGGGCCACTGCCACAGCGCCACAGCATAATCGAGATTAAAATACCTAGAACGAATATATATAAACACGTATATACATATATAGACACAAGTATATATGCATACACTTGCTTTTAGCTTTCCTAGAACTCTGATTTCCATACTTGAACGTACAGTAAGCTGCGAGTCATAGGAGATAGTCGGTCTCAGACAGAAATAATCAAACTCAAGCTGATAGAAACGCCACGAGCCCAAAGATTCGGTCCGAGTCACAATTAATTCCACACAAACCAAACGGATCGGAATCCATTCTGAAGCAAGTCACACGCAAGTTTAACATACACGGCGAAAAAAGAGAAATCGATTAAAGAAACCGCATATTATTAATGATTATTATATTGTATTATTATAACTGAAATATTTAGATGAAATGACGATTCTTAATTATAACACATTATTATAGATACATACTGAACAAGCCGATACAAAACAACAAATTGAAAATGAAACTTTAACAAAAAAAACCAAAACGGAGGGAATCGAAAAAGATTAATAAAAATGAAAATATAGAGAATATTATATTATGAACTTCCCCAATGCGTTTCAATTCACAAAATCATTTTTTTTTTTTTTTTGCAAATACGGACAAATCACTATGATTATTAATCAGCACTTTACCATTTATCAGTTTCTTTTATAATCTGTATACCTACTCATATATACCCTAGGGAAATTAAAAATGCAATTTATTAAAAATTGCTCTCATTCAGACATTTTAGTTCGTTTTCATCATTCCTCGTAGACAGTTGTATTTTTGTTTTTATTTGTATTTTATTTTATTGCAAAATGCAATACATTATTTTACTGTTTCTAGTGGCGACGGCAAGAAAAGCTTCATGTTTACAAGTAATTTTTTTTAATTTAATAAATCATAGATTTAAATAAAAATCAAGCATTTTATTTCACAGCTAGACGGCAAACTTGAAAATGAAGACTGCAGTAGCTATATATGCGAATCAGTTAGGATGATCCTACAATATATGGTCACTATGGATGAAAGAATAAAAAAAATAGAGAGATATTCAAGTGAATTTGAAAATGCTAAAAAAGAGCTAGCTGACGTTAAGGAACATCAGAACGTTCTGATAACAGGTTTAAGAAAAGATCTAAATTCTGAAATAGATAAAATTCGGAAAATTAACGAAACAGTAATAGCTGACGTTAAGGAACATCAGAACTTTATGATAACAGGATTAAAAAAAGAACTAAATTCTGAAATAGATAAAATTCGGAAAATTAACGAAACAGTAATAGGTCTGGCCTATAAAAAAATTGGATCCAAGTCTTATTTCATTGTGGATACCGAAAAGAGAAGCTGGAATGATTCTCGGGAATTCTGCCATAACCTGGGAGGGCACCTAGTTAGTTTGCAAAGTCAGTCGGAGTTGGATGCTCTTGGTCGCGAATTGAAGGATCAACTGTACTGGACTGATGTCCATGATTTTTCGAATGAAGGAGAATTTCTTTCTGATACTACTGGTCAAAAACCCAATTTTTTTAACTGGAGACAGAATCCAGACAATTGGAACAACGAAGACTGCGTTGAGATTGGAGGGTATCCCAACTTCTGGGCCATGAACGATAACGAATGTTCGACTCTTCTTAACTTTATTTGTGAAAAATAACTTTACAAAAAGACTAAATAAGAAGTTATATTTAATAGAATTACTGAGGATTGGAACATTTTCGTATATAATTAAAACTACGCAGTAAAAGAAAAACGGGACAACCAATAAATTGACTTATTCTAAGTCCAAAACTTTTTTAATTTTAATAAAAATTTTAAATAGCGTGCAGTACATTTGTTTTAATGATTTTATATAAATAAATAATTAAATTTCATGAAAATCGGATGACCATATTATATAGCTGTCATAGCTGTTAAAATATTATTCCTTATTTCATAAATAGAAAAATCTTCATTACCAAGATGTAGGTTAGCCTGCATGCACTAAAATTGACATTTGCGATGACTGCAAGGGTATTTAAGCCTCGGCTTGCCGAAGCTAGCTTCTTTTCCGGTTGACCTTTATTTTACTGAAGATTAGTTTTTGGGTTAAACAGTTGCGAATTCGGACTGTGTTTCAGGGATGTACCTAGTTCAACATTTCCATAGCTCAATGGCGAAACACGCTTTGAAAACAAGAAAAGCTGGACAGCCGATAAGCTGCTATCAGTTGGTTGCGAGCGGATGAGATAAGGACCGCCGGCGCAATTGAAGCCGTAGGGCGAAGACCCAGGCGCGGATCTGGAAAAAAAATATTTTAATATTTAATTTAACAAAAGTTTTAAATGGTTGAAAATGGTAAAAATCCGGTACTGCATAGCAGATTAAATATTGTCATGACTTCGCCAACTGATGATCGGAGTTTTCCTCGATACCACTGGAATACTAGCCAATAAAATTAAAAAAAAAATAAATAAAATGAAATAAGTTTTTTAGCTAGCTAAAGCTAAAGTGTTTTTACTTCTTTTGTAAAAATTAATTTAAAACCCCATATTTTCTTGTGATCGTATATTGGGAGAAAATTATTTTAAATACGAATCAATTAATATAAATTGTTAGGGAGAAGAGCTGATTGAAATAACCGAAAGTCCAAGTATCACTCCTGATATTTCTTGTTCTGCTTGCTTTGAGATTTTTTGAGCTAGAATGTGGGCTTCAAGCCAGCCTCGCGGATCGCTTGCCCCAAGGCTGCTTGGGTCGCAGCAGATAATGCTCGGGGTTTTCAGGCCGACGGATCCGATTCGGAAATCAGTGTTAGTTCAATCGCGACACAGTGAGCAACATGCAGCCGTTGCTTCTAGTGCTGGCCCTTTGTGTTTCCCAAATCGTTGCCCTACATCCAGGGCCGCGACCCGACTACAACGATGAGTACGATGATGATGCCAGGCCCGTTTGGCAACCGGAACCCCTGAAGCCGGCCCCCTGGCAGGAGAATCCCCAACAGCCACAGCCACCACAACCACCACAGTCGCAAAAACCGAGAGCCGTCGTCCAAGTGCCCGGAATCGGTCAGGTTTCGGGAATTGCCTTACCGACTGGCAGTCGGCCAGTAAACGCCTTTCTGGGCTTGCGGTACGGTATCGTTGGGGAAGGACTTGCTCGCTTCCAGGCTGCCCAACCGGTCGGATTCCAAGGCAGAGTTGATGCCACCCTCAGGAGTCCCAATTGCGCCCAGTTTCCGGAGCTCGATCGCCTGAGGGATGCTGAGTCGCGCGGCGAGAATGTCGACGACTGTCTCACCCTGGACATCTACGCACCCGAGGGCGCCGATCAGCTGCCCGTTCTGGTCTTCGTTCACGGCGAGATGCTCTTCGACGGCGGCTCCGAGGAGGCCCAACCGGAGTACATCCTCGAGAAGGACGTCGTCCTGGTGTCCATCAACTATCGCCTGGCTCCCTTCGGCTTCTTGAGTGCTCTGAGCGAAGAGCTTCCCGGAAACGTGGCCCTTTCGGATCTGCACTTGGCCCTCGAGTGGCTGCAGCGCCATCTGGTCCACTTCGGCGGCAATCCCGAAAAGGTGACGCTGGTGGGTCAGGCGGGTGGTGCCACATTGGCGCACGCCCTCAGCCTCAGCGGTCGGGCGAAGAACCTTTTCCAGCAGCTGATCCTGCAGTCGGGCACCGCCCTGAATCCCTACTTCATCGACGAGCAGCCCCTCCAGACCCTGGACACCTTCGCCCGCCTGGCCCGCTGCCCCCCGCCGCCCACTCCCTCCACGCCCCGTGGCCTTGCGCCCCTCTACGACTGCCTCGCCGCACTGCCCACCTCCCAGCTGGCCGCCGCCTTCGAGCAGCTGCTGCAGCAGAACGAGCCCATCGGCCTCACCCAGCTGGGCGGCTTCAAGCTGGTGGTCGGCGACCCCCTCGGCTACCTGCCAAAACACCCCTCCTCCTTGGCCGCGAACAGCAGCAACGCCCTGCCCATGATTGTGGGCGCCACCAAGGACGCCAGTGCCTTCATCGTGTCGCGTGAGTACTAAACTTTGATAGCCATTAATCAGAAGGTTCAACAGCTCATGTCAACTAGCTAAATTATATAAAATTTACATTAAATTTATACAAAGACTCCATCTTTTCCAACTTTGCGGGGTACTGTGTAATTAAACAAGTCTTACATTAAATAAGAAACAAAAAAGCAATCTCATTTCACTCTTGACTTTCTGAATTATTATTATTTATTATTATACTCACTGTATACCCACTATAGCAATTAACGAAGCATTAAATAGAAGGTCAAATCTGGGCATTTTTGTAATCAAATAAATTCCAACTTGAATCCGAATTTTAACATCAATGTTGCGATCCATGCTAGAACGAATATAATATAGGTCGGATTAGCTAGATCGAGAGACAGTTGGTGATAAGACGCTGGTCCCGAGGTCACGTTGATTAAGTCTAATGTATTTAGACGGATAGGATGATACAGCTAAATCAAGTCCCATTTATGTTTAAAGTAATTAATTTAGTTAGGTTTCAAGGGTGACTGATTCGAATGCTATTTTCGTCAGCAGGCAGGAAATGGTTTCGTATTATGAAACATATTTTAATCTTGCTTAGGTTTTTTATTTCCAAAAATCTACTCACTCTTCAGGTATTGCATTGACCTATATAATCAGATGCAATTAAATCGACATCGTTGTCGTTCGAAAAGTTATGTTTTTTCTTTTTCTAATGCAATGATAATCTTCTTTGTTTCAGGTATCTATGACCAGATCGCCAATCTGCGGTCAAGCAATGTGAGTGACTACATCGATGTGGTGCTGCGGCACACAGCTCCGCCCAGCGAGCACGGCACTTGGAAGCAGTGGGCACTGAACGAGATCTTCAGTCCGGACCAGCAGTACAGGGCCAATGCGCAATCCGTGATCCAAGGCTTGCTCGAGTTAAGCAACTACATCCTATACAGAGCACCGGTGATCAAGACGATCCGTGAGTCGTACCGCTCTACGCCGGCCTATCTGTACTCCTTTGACTATCGGGGCCAGTATCACCGGTTCGGGCACCTGAAGAATCCCCTGCCCTTTGGGGTGGATGCCTCTCTTAGCGACGACAGCGTGTACTTGTTCCCCTTCCCGCAGGAAGCCAGTGATTTGAACCCCTTGGATAAGGCCGTGTCCCGCGCCTTGGTTACGATGTGGGTGGACTTTGCAATTTCTGGTGTACCCAATCCGACTTACGGTGTGTGGCCGCGGGCCACCTCGGAGTATGGTCCATTCCTACGCTTCACCAACTCTCACCAAACCCCGCTGGAGCTGGACCCGCACTTTGGCGAGGGCATTTACCTGCCCAATTACAGCGTAAGGAGGTTCAAGCCATCCGCTTATGTCCCAGTGCCATCCGCTTATGTCCCAGTGCCATCCGCTTATGTCCCAGTGCCATCCGCTTATGTCCCAGTGCCAAGAGTTCAGGCTACCACGACGACGACAACCACTACAACTACAACGACCAGACGCCCGTCTGGTCCGTCGTACGCATACAATCCGTATGCCAATTGGCAAAACAGGCAAGCCCAGCAGCCCACTTGGCATCCTTCGGATCCAGAATACGTGAGGGCCCAGGAAGCCCGCCAACAACAGTTTATCCGAGAAAGGGAGCAACGTAGGCGAGAGCAGCAGCAGCGAACTCACCCGAGCCGAAGTTACGAGCAGGAAGAGCGATTGCGACAACAGCGAGAGCAAGAAGAGCGTGAGCGACAGCAGCGAGAGCAGGAAGAGCGATTAAGAAGGGAGCAAGAAGAGCGACTCCGTCAACAGCGAGAGCAGGAAGAGCGCGAGCGACAGCAGCGAGAGCAAGAGGAACGTGAGCAGCAAGAACGAGAGCAGCAAGAACGTGAGCAGCAAGAACGTGACCAGCAGGAACGAGAGGAACAAGAACGAGAGGAACAAGAACGAGAACAACAGCCCGAGTATAGTCCAAACGAAAACCATTGGGTCTTCGATTCCTACGATGATGAGCGACTTCCGGAAGAAGAGCAACAAGAACGAGATCAACAGGAACTTGAGAAACAGCAACGAGAGCAGCAAGAACGAGAGCAACAAGAGCGAGAACAGCAGGAACGAGAACAGCAGGAACGAGAGCAACAAGAACGAGAGCAACAAGAGCGTGAGCAACAAGAGCGAGAGCCACAGCCCGAATACGATCCAGATGATGGTCGGCTTCCCTATCCCTCATACGAGCAATATGGCCAAGAAGACCACGATGGTCCTGCAGAATCGGACCCGGAGCGCAGCTACAACGTGGAGCAAGAGCGCGAACAGCAGCGGCAAGAGCAACTGCGCCGAGAGCAGCAGGATCGCGAGGAGCAAGAGCGAGAACTGCAACTCGCTCAGCAAGAGCGAGAGGAGCGAGAGCGAGAACAGCAGGAGCGAGAACAGCAGGAGCGAGAGCAGCAGGAGCGAGAGCAGCAAGAGCGCTATGGAGACGATCAGGCCGAAGATAAGCCGGAAAACTATCCCAGCTACGAGGATTACATCAAAGCCCAGGAAGCGAAAAATTCGGAACAAGATCGGCTCTATGAAGAGGCGCAGGAGCGCGAGCGTCAGCGCCAGGAGCAATTGGAACAGGAGGGTCAACAGGAGCCGGAAGCAAATCAGCCAGAAGAACGTCAGCCGTATCCCAGTTACGAAACGTACGATTCCGGTCGCAACTATGATGAAGAACGGGATCGCGATGATGAGCGAAGAAATCAGGTGGAACACGAGAGGGAACCACAGCCTAGCGAGGATCAGGGCGACAATCGCAACGGCGACTCCGATAACGAGGAATACGACAGGTCCCAGGAAGAGGCTGTGGACCACAATGCTCTCAAGGTCGAGGACTTCCCCACCTACGAGGCTTACCTGGCTGCCGCCCTCAAACAGCAACAGGATCAAGAGGAGCAGGAGCGGCTGGAGGAGGAGCGCATTAGGGCTCAACAGGAGGAGGAGGACCGAGCCCGGGAAGAGGAGGAACGCGCCAGGGCCCAGAATCTGAGGGAACGCTATGCCCGCGAACTGTCATCACTGAACAGCCTGGTCAACGGTCCACACCACCTGAAGGCCGTGCGCAATACACTTTAAATTTCGAATTATACAAATCATATTCCGACAAAATACAAATTGTAGTACTTTAAAAAATGTTTTTCCTTCGCATAATGTTTTTTGCTTAAGTGGGTCACATTTCTATATTATCGCACACATTTTTGTCTAATCAAAAATAAACCTTTGAAAACATTTAAACCGAAAGGATCAAAGTACTGTTTTTTTAGAATGCAATTTTTTAACATTATATTTTTTTGTCGAATAAATAATTTTTTGATTGAGTTTATGTAAATTCTAAATTTCAAAAGCGTATCTTGTTGCGGTTCGGCCGCTTCACCAGACTCTTGCGTCCGCCCATCTTTTGCAACCGACTGGCCTTCGCGGCGGCCAGTTGCTGCCGGCGTTTGTTTTGAGCCCGCTTGCGGCTGCGACTGCGCAGATAGTAGATCTCGCGGACCAGACTGTGGCCGTCCTCCTCATCTTGCAGCGTGGCCGAGAACTCGCTGAAGAAGTTGCCCCCAATGGTGAGAGTCTCGTCGATCTTCATGTACGGACCATAAAGCGTGGTCATCGGTGGCCAGTAGCCACTGCGATAGGATCCCAACGGGTTGCCCCAAATTACGAAGTTCGTCCACAGCTCCACCATCCGGTGGGCCATCGTCACGTCCGGCGGACTGAGGCGCTTCACGTGATCGGGGTAGGGGAACAGGTAAAGGGCCTCGTCGGTCAGCGAGACTCCCGCCTTGAAGGGGCTCTGCATGTTGGTCTCCTCATCCATTTCCTTGTAGCGATTAAACTCGCCCGCGTAGTCGAACGAGTAGAGGAAGGTGTTGTGCGGATTGTGCTTGTTGTTCATGTTCAGAGCCATCAGAACGGGCAGTTTGTGGTTCAGCGTTCCAGCAACCTAAGAGATAATTTCGAAAGTGATTAAAATGCGATAAATAAATGTTAAAAAAAAAATAAATTCAAAAATCTTAAAAAAAAGGGTAAATAAATTTCTGAATTTCTTTGGTAAATTTTCTCACATCAATTAGCCTGGGAATCAGAGTGTCAAAGGTTCCGTTTTCCAGCAGCGGCCGGTTAAAGAAATCGTGGGTGATAAAGCTAGTGAGGAGCATCGTCTTGTCGGTGCCCACAACCTGACGGATCACGTGGTCAATGTAATTATAGGTGGTATACTCGTCATCAGGAATCTTTCCCTCAAAGTCATTGTCCACAATCTCGTTGAGCACTCGAGTTCCGGCATTTTTGGACAGCCCCCCATCGCAGGATAAGAAAAGTTTGATTCCAACATGAGGTCGTAAGGATGTTTGGGCAGCACTCCACTGGGTCCACCGATGGTGAACTGTATGCCCCCAGTGTGTCCGATTCCAAGGTCGGATTTCTCCAGCTGTCAGTAGAAAATAAAGTTTAAAATGTAAAACGAATTCTAGAGGGATATTAAATGAAATATTACATACCGCATGTTCCATAAAAGCATTTAGCAATTCCAAAGCCGTGAGCTCCATTAGACAGTTGTTCAAGTCCCTAACTGTCACCATCCGGCAATCTGCCTTCTTAGCGATCTCCTGAGCGTGTTTCCGTGGATCCTCCTCCAGGAAGATGGGCATAATCGCCGATCCCGAGTGGTAGATCACCTGGCTGAAGAGTCCTTTCTGGACCATTGGCGAAAGTGTGAGCAGGTGGGCAATGGCTGCTCCTCCCACTTGACCAGCCACAGTGACTTTTGAAGGATCACCGCCAAAATATTTTATGAAGTGCTTAACGAACTGCAGGGCCAGAAAGATATCGAGAAAGCCGGCGTTGCCGGGAATCTCGTCTGTCTTCGTGGACAGAAATCCGAAAGGCCCGAGGCGATACTGCGGAGTGACCAGCACAATGTCCTTTTCGAGCAGATAATCCGGCGGAGCCTCGGAGTTGCTGCCCTCGTACAAATACTCCCCGTGGATGTAAACGAGAACGGGGTACTGACCGGTCACATTCGGTGTGGTGATGGTCATCGTCAGACAGTCCTCCACATCCAGGACGTCATCCAGTTTCCGGAGCGAGTCCATCGACACCACCGAGGGACAGCCGATCTTCTCCGCTGTGGCGTCCATAACATCCTCCCACGGTTCAATCGGTCGAGGAGCCTGCAGAAAGTGAATTGATGCAAACATATGAAACGCATTTAACTACTAAGAGAAGGAAATACTATATACAAGTATTATTTTTTGTTGACTCCTCAATATTGATCTTGTTATTAAACATTTTAAATAATAGAAAACCATCAAATGCAATAGCATTGCATTTTTGTGATTTCACACAAATATTATTTAGGTATTTCTTTATTCATAAATGTTCTTTCATGAGTCATAGTTTTTGTTACTAGTCACCTTACTATAATCAAATTTGTTTTTCTCTTAAGGGACACAGAGTAGATAAAAACTATTCACCAAGAAAGATATCAAATCCTCGATAGTATAGTGGTTAGTATCCCCGCCTGTCACGCGGGAGACCGGGGTTCAATTCCCCGTCGGGGAGAATGCGAGATGTTCTCTTTTTACATTTTTTTTCATTCTCAAAATCTGTTTATATTAATTTATTACCTCTGAGCAATTTACATAATTTTGAAAGTTTTAAAACTAGAGAAACCAGACGCTCAATAAAATAAAACATTTCTATTTGGTATTCTTGGCGAATCTCTTTATGTTTGCCGTATTTAGCATAATGACGATTTTAATTTTTTGCATACTTTTTTGCATAAAATCCATGGCTTAATCATTTCTGCTCTGCTGACACACTTTATTGCTTTTGTTTGTATTTTATTTTATCAAATTAAATTTGAACTTAACCTTTTAATATATTGTTATATTATAAGAAGCTGCAACCACTTTTATACCTTGAACCGATGCAGTCCCGTTGGAGGTTCTGCATATCTGACATCCACAAACTGCAACGCTTCCCGTTTTGTCCAAGCGGTTTCTACAATCTTTCCCTGGATGCTTCCCAGCTTGGGCAGTTCGACGATGGTGTCCTTCTCCTCATCGTATTGCCTGCCACGAATTCGAGCTCCGGTCACCGATTGGAGGACCAGTGCCAGAAGAACTGGTATCCAACTTGCGAGCTGCATTTTTGGGAACTCCGCGGAACGAACCAACACTCTCTTTAGCGCACCGAACGCAACTGATCTGTGGCTAGTCGGGACCAATAGATTTTAGCCCGCTCTGACCCGAAGTTTCACCCCATGTCTGACCGAAATACCCAAATGAAGAGTCCGCAAACGGAAACTGGCTAAAACAAAACGCGAAAACTGCAAATGATGCGGCGTCCCCGAGGCTTGAGCCGCAGGTCTATGCTAATAGATACACATAAAGAAATATATTTTAATAAAAAAAATTTTTGATAAATACATTTCAGATGTCGAATTGCAAAACAATCAAATGTTATGTCTTCGAAAACCGTTATCTATGTCTTATTGATTACATTTATGTGTACATAAAACGAATTCAATTTTGGTAATTATCTTAAAAAAATTAGAATGAATTTAATCAATGGTACCTTCTCCTTAATTAAATCATTTGAAAACATTTGTTGTACATTTTTTTTTCTAGTGCAAGAACAGATTTCGTTGCTCCGGTTTTAGCTGCTGGTCGTTCGGCTGATCATCTGCAAGTAAAAGCGAAAACCTAAAGAGCAGCCGCTGGCCCGAACTTGATTTGCCCGATAGTCAGTCATTAGTCGCTCAGATTGATGCGAATATTCACCGGCAAACATTGGACATTGGCCATTAACTCGGTTTGTCTTTCTCACGACGATGAAAGTGCGGGTAGCGCCAGTCAAAATTAATTTCTAAACAGATGGGGGAATTGATTTAAATTTTAGATTTTACCTAATTGATTCCAGAAATTCTCCTCGCTACTGGAATTCACAGCACGAGGTACAATATCAATCATCGCAAACTTCGGGAGAAAGCATTCGTAACACTTCAGTGCCAAAAAAGATCAACGACTTCGCACTAATCGCACAAGATAATTCCATTATTATACTACTATATTTAACTGTTTGCAAGCTCGGGAAGCCCCACTATATAAGGAAGCTAGAAAGCGAACTGGCAAAACTTTTCTTTTTGTGATTATATATTTTACGAGCTCAATGTCAAGGGAATATTAGTCACAGCATATTTTAGCTCTTAAACAACATTTATAAATACCGTTAACTTGTTTATAAGAACTTAAATCAATTTGCAAGCTATTGTTATCCTAATAAAGTTAAAATAAAATTGGGTAACTTTGAACAACATAAGCATATTTTACATATTCAAAAGACCTTTCCCTTAAATGCTCTTACAGGGAAACTTATTGATGACCATCGCTGTAACTAATTACAGATATAGGTATTGCAAATTATAAAGTTAATCAAGGCGGGCAAAGTATTTTGTTGAAACAAATGAGCTGTCACACCTAATTTATACTTTATTAAGTTGCTTAATGAACTCTAATATGAGACTTTTACATGCAGCCAAGGCTTTTGTTCTTCTGGCTTCTGAATAGCGAAAATATGATTAATGCTACAACAAAGAAAGCGGTTTCTTTTGACTATGTATTGAGTACTTTTTGAAATCAAAGGAGATTCGCCGCGCTTGATCGATTTTTACAGTTAGATTGATCAATTTTTGTAAGTTCTAAGGTCCTTAACCCAAAACATTAAAACCCACCGGTAATGTTTATATTGCAGAGGTTTCTCTATCCAAAATACTATATATAATTACGACCCAAAATGTTATTAAAATATTAAAAGCCCATTCAAATAAAAAAATATCACGTTTGTGTGTCAGAAATAAATTAAATTGGGATTTAATCAATAAATAAGAGAAAAGAGGAATAGTAGATCAGATTAGTTTTACTGCTTTTGGGTGCGAGTGGATTTTCTGGCAATGAACACCAAGTTCTGGCCACGAGCCTCATTGGAAGCTCTTTCGCTGTCGGTTTCAGCATCGTCCTGATCATCCTCCTCGTCCTCCTCCTTTTCCTTTTTGCTGGCAGCCAAAAGAGCGGCTTCCAGTTCGTAATACTCCTCGTTGACCAGACTGTAACCATGTTTCACCTCCTCCACTGCAATGCGGTACTCATCCAGATAGTTGTCTCCGAAACTGACAGTGCGACCGATCTTCATGTAAGGTCCTGTTTCGTCAGTCATTGTTGGCCAAGTGGGAACCCCGGGTGCCTTAGGAATACCAGTTGCTGCAAAGGACGTCCACAGAGCCACCATTCGCCTGGCGATCTTCAGATCGCGGTTCGAGTTGAGCGCCATGAATCGTGGCCAGGGGAACAGGTACAGGTTGTCGTCCGTAAGAGAGACACCCATGTCGAATGGCACGAAGGCGGCCTCGTCCTCACCAGTTGCGTAGCGATTCTGTTCGCCTTCGTAGTCAAAACTGTACAGGTAGGTGCTGTTCGGCAGCTTCTTGGCGTTGGCCTGCAGGACCAGCAATACGGGATTCTTCAGCGAAATCGTGCTGCAAAGCTAAGAATAAAAAATTATTTAAATACATATCTAAATAAATTGTTTTAAAAAGCTCAAGATAAACAAAAAGTATTAAAACATTATTTGAATCCAAATATAACTCATATTAAATTTTTGTTTAAAGTATTAATTCTTACATCAATAAGACCCGGGGTCAAGCGCTTAAAGCTGCCGTTCTTGACATCGGCATCGGTAAATATCTCCTCGTTTGAGAACTCTTTCCACGAACCAGAGGGATCTGCGCCATTAGCCTGGTCGATAATGGTATCGATGTACTGCCGTCCAGTCATCTTATCGTCCAAAACTGTCTCGTTAAAGATGTCCGCAAATATATCTGCAAAGACAATAATTAATTAATACGTTTATACACAAAATATAAATTATTAAAATTTTAAATTTAAATTACATTAAAAATATTTTGAAGTCAACGATTGATTTGCAATTTAAGTAAAATTAGAGTTATGTAAAGTATAATGATTCAAAAGTAATCTTCAGAATCCCTACTTACCCCTCAACATGAAAGTGCCGCCGTGCTTGACGCTGCCACCCAATGTGGGATAAGCCTGGAACTTCTCGGCTGCCAGGAGGCGACCAGGATGCTCTGGCAGAATGCCAGATGGACCGCCGATGACCAGCTGCACTCCGCCGTATGCTCCGCCGGACAACGAGGGCTGATCCTCGCCGTGGACACTGAAGGCGGCCAAGAGCATGGTGGCGTTCAGGCGGGTCAAGCACTTGTTCAGCTGATCCACCTTGGTGGGCTGTTTGCATCCGGCAATCCGACCGATGGCCTTGGTGGATCCGAGGGGGGCATCAGTGATGAAGGCGGGGGAAAGGGCCGTTCCCGACTGATAGATGACGCGGTGGAAGAGTCCGGTCGGAACCGCTGGACTCAGGGTGAGCACGTTGACCAGCGCCGCTCCACCAACTTGACCAAAAAGCGTTACCCTCTGCGGATCACCGCCAAAGGATGCAATGTGCTTCTGGATCCACTTGAGTGCCAGGATAATGTCGGTGACCGCTGCATTGCCAGGCATCTCATCGGTCAGCGTGGACAGGAAGCCGAAGGGTCCGAGGCGGTAGCGCACGGACACCAAAACCACATCCTGTTCCAACAAATATCCGGGAGCGGCCTCCACCGAATCACCGTCGTAGAAGAAGTCGCCGTGGATGTACACCATTACTGGAAGGGATTTGCCCTCCAACTGATGTTAACAGTTTACCAAATGAAATAAATTAATATTTTAAAAGGGATTCCATTATGTTTTAACATACCGCTTTAGTGTTCACCGTAAGTCGCAAACAATCCTCCACATCGAAGCCATCCTCCTCCAACTTGGCGAACATGAGCAGGTCCTGAATGGAAGGACATCCAGCATGAGGGCGGTTGGCAGGAAGGACGCCTCTCCAGGCTGGTGCGGGCTCAGCTGGCTACAGATATCGAATTTGTAAAATAAAAAATTAAAACATGAATAGCATTAGGTTATAGTAATGTTTTATGAGAAAGATTTGCAGAAAAAAACTCATAAATTTATCGAGTCCTGAAAAGATTAATTAAATGTATTTAATTTATCTAAACAAAGTTGTTATACCAAAAATTTATAGTATGCTAAGCCTAAGGCTTAAAAAGATAGCATGATTTCGTTTATAACGAATTTTGTATAAGATATTTGGCGAACAGCGTTCACTCTCCGCGTTGTTCAACCCCGCCACTTGACTTGTTTGTTATTTGACCTACGTCGTTCACCGTCCTCGATAGTATAGTGGTTAGTATCCCCGCCTGTCACGCGGGAGACCGGGGTTCAATTCCCCGTCGGGGAGAATATTCCAGTATTCTGAGTAATTTTTTTTTTCAAAGAATTGTAAGGGTTGACCGTACTTATTGACAGTACTTATGGCTTACACTGCAACAAAATAGGTTTGGCTCTGTATTTAACATAATTTTTCGGTCCTGTATTTATTCAACAATAAAAACAAACAAATTTAAAAAAAAAAAAATTGAACGCTTTCACATTCTCCCCGACGGGGAATTGAACCCCGGTCTCCCGCGTGACAGGCGGGGATACTAACCACTATACTATCGAGGACGCCGAACGACGTCGGCCAAATGGCAAACAAGTGTTAAGTGACTGACCAACGTTTGTATAACCAAAGGAATATGGAATGCAATAATATATTTAATTGAACAAAATTAATATACATATTAGCTCACCTTGAAGCGCTCGGCTTTTCCGTATGGAATATCTAAAAACTGCATTATCCTTTTACCCGTCCAATCGGTGTTCAGCTTACGTCCTCGGAGCCTTCCCAACTGAGGAATCGTTACGGTGAACACTTTGGGTTCCTGGACATTCTGCACCTGTTGCTTGTTAGGCTTCTGCTTTTGGTTTTGCTGGGGTTTTGGGCGCTTGTTCTTATGGGGACCAATTGCCTGGTTTCCTGGTTTTTGCCTCTGCTGCTTCTGCCTGTTAGGATTCTTCTGCGCCAGGCCATCAGCCACAAAGAATGCCAAAAGGACGATTGCCAGGAGCAAGATAACTCCACTAAACCGTGCCATTTTCTGTATTACTTTATACTTCGATCCGCTGCTTCTGATAGATGGAATGGAACTGTTGCTGATATCAAATCTCTGTCCACCAAGAAGACTTTCTCGGCATATTCGAGTGACTCTTGACCGGGCACGGGTTCTATTTCGGATTAATTGGGGTCAAGCCAGCACTCTGTCCAAATCCTACTCTCAGCTCGATCGCCACTTTTCGCGACTCCAATCGTTGAATATTCATCGACTCCACATCTAAATGCCAACTTTGGCGATAAATAGCCGACAGGCAAGCCCGCGATCTGGATGGGATTATGCTCGTTGGCATGAAAGTAAAAGAGAGTAAAAAACAACCTGTTCTTTGATTGTGACCCTTGAGGCATTTTCTCCGATCAAAGATATGTGTTCTAGGTGAACAAATGCAACATAATAAGCTGTGTTCAGCATAAAATAAATTGAATCTCATTAAACAAAATTAATACGATTTTACGGCTATTAAATACCAATGCCATTTTTCTTATCCGTTCTTGTTAAATAACAACTCCCATATCAACGAATCTGCTTATATTTTCTGAAGATTTGCGTACAGCTTATCTACATCTAATACAACTTTGTCAGATATAAGTACTCTTCGTTATTCAAGCGGATGTATATATTTTTTTTAAAGAATTCCAACAAGTTTAAGCAGACTTTATGGATTGATTATAAGCGCTGCAGAGATCTATAGATACAAAATATCTCAAATGACACAAATTTCTGAACTATTTTTAGTCCGCATACGACAGTCTACCAGAGATTTGTACATTAGAATGCTTGTTGCGTTTGACAGATGCGCATGTTACATTCGTTAAATGGTTTTATTAATAAATTAATACGGTAAATGTAAAATTAGATTAAAATGCATTAGGCTACAACTAGTTGATAAACGCGCAAACAATTGCATTGAAATGCAGAAGTACTCTAAAGCGAAGTATGTGTTAACAGAGAACATCTTGAGAAGATCCAGTTGGTGTTATTAGATGGGAGGGAACACCTGGTGGCTGGCCAGATGACTCACAACCGCCTAAATGTAGTACAGGCGCACAACCGATTTGGTGATGAGTGTCTCGTTGTCGTAGAAACTGGTTTGGATCGTCACGTTGCCATTTAAAACCTTGGCCGGCATCATCTGGGACTCGGGTGCCGCTTCGATCGTCGACTGCCAGGTGTTGGTGGTGTTGGCGCCCACGAATCCCATCTCGAAGAACCACTCCTCCATGATGCGACCCTTGAAGAGCACCTTCTGGTCCAGTCGAAAGTTCTCCATCGGTTCGATGGTGCTGAAGTTGATTTCCCGGGAAACGGCTCGCATGTCCAGTATTTTCACCGGCACCCTGGCCTCGTGCTCCTGGTCGGGTGCCGAAAAGTCCTTGTTCTCCTGCCAGATTATCTTCCCGCTGTCGGCGTCCCGTAAAATCATGTAGTTAATCTGGAATCCCTTCTGGATCCTGTCCCCGGCACTCTGGTCATCGGAACCCATAGCTGTCCGTGAAGATGCGAAGTTGGTCAATCGGGTGCACTAAATACCAGGTGGGAGCGCCTACGCGTTTACGTATACTTTCGGGCAGAAAATCAATCAAATATGTTTATTTTTAATCCTAATGCCAGCCAGCTGTTCGACTAAGAACTAGTTCACATTAGAGTAACTGTCGCGATGATGGTTTCCATTCACGAACCAGTTGACAAAACGATAGTTTTCAGCCCTGGTCGCTTTGCTGTTTTTTTAAGGAACCAGCACAAATTCGCTTTCTGAACTGGTTCAATGGCAAACAGCTGACTGGTGGTGCCATCACTAATTCGCAAAAAAACATTCCCAAAAACACAAAACTTTAGTTAGCAATGATTATATATGGCGTCTATATAGTAAGTAAATCGGGTGGCCTTATATTCAACCTGGACAACAATGTGCCGCGTATCGAGCACGAGAAGACCTTTACATACCCACTGGACCTAGTGTTGGACTACGATTCCAAGAAGGTGTCGGTGTCTTTCAACAGAAAGGATGGCATAAATGGTGGGTGTGTCTGGAAATTATGGTAAAAATATCACCTAATTATATTCTGTTTTTTAGTTGGTCATGTCCTGGTGGCGGTCAACGGTATGCCAGTAAATGGAATCACTTTGGATGATGGCCGCGCTGTGAAGACAACACTGGAGTCAGCGGACAACTATCCGATCAACCTGAAGTTCAGCCGCCCGAAGATGACCACCAACGAGAAGATCTTCCTAGCCAGCATGTTCTATCCCCTGTTCGCCATTGCCAGCCAACTGAGTCCCGAGCCCAAGAGTTCTGGAATCGAGATTCTGGAGGCGGACACCTTCACGTTGCACTGCTTCCAAACGCTGACAGGAATTAAGTTCATTATCATCTCGGAGACGGGGCTTAATGGCATCGATCTGCTTCTGCGAAAGGTCTATGAACTCTACTCGGACTACGTCCTCAAGAACCCTTTTTACTCGCTGGAAATGCCCATCCGGTGCGAGCTATTCGACAACAAACTGCAGGAACTCCTCGCCCAGGTCGAAAAAACGGGCATTAGCAATATTGATAAATAAACGTTAAGTTGTCTTTGTACATTGTTATTTAAATTGTCTTCTATTGAGCTCGGGGTCTTTTAGAGGTAGATGTTATTTTATAAAGCTTCGCAACGGTTTGCAAGCTAAAAACATAGACAATATAGAATGACTTTTTTACCTGGCTGAAAATGTTTAATTAAAAAGACTTTTATTTATTTACACCTCAATTGAAAATTACCATAAACAACAATTAAAACAACATAAAGAAATTATTTACATTCACATTCTCCAATTTTTATTCTGATTTTGTGTTTATTCATTCAGCCATCTTAAAAATATTTTGTATATTATACATACTCATATAAAAATAGTTCTTTGTTTAAAATAAAATATATATTACACTTTCAGCGCATAATCTAGACAACACCCTAACCTAAAACAATATATTGCATGGCCTATATGAATGCTTTGTGATCCACGCACAATTGAAGATAACCAAATAACCAACAAACTCAGTACATGCTATATGGTGTATATAATATATATGTATAATTGTATATAATAAACTTCTTGAGCAAAATATGACTCCAAAAATAGATTGCAACTGCGTTAAACATTAAAAATTAAGCAACAATTTCCAAGATACCTACTTAGGGACTAATAAAAAGTATCAAAATGGTTCAAGGCATAACAATTAAGTAAGTTCTTCATTTCAATTTCGTCTCTGTCTAGCACTTGGTGGGGAGTACAGCAAGAGAGGGCCTGTATTTGTGTGTTTGGGGTGTGTGCTTAAAAGGTGTCCTAGTGGCAAACTGTATATTGCACCGATTGTTTTCCGTCTAATACCCAGTTTCTGGTTCCTGTTTCAGCGTCATGCGACTGGGATCTAAAATGATAAAACCATATTAATTTTGAAATTCACACATATTAGTTGCCTTTTTTACTTACCAATTCCGTAACCAGCGGGTGCGGTAAGCAGCTCCGGAGCTCGGATTTTGAGAGGAGTCCGCCGCAGCAGCTCCTCGGCACTACTGCCCTCGCTCCGGTTGTACTCGTTGAGCGTGATGTCGGCGGGATTGCGCAGACCCAGACCGCCACCACCGCCGCTGGGCACTTCGACCGGCGAGGCGACCGCTCTTTGGTAGGGATGCATGCGCTGGGGACTGTGCTGCGATGGCATTGCTCCAGACCGACTGCCATTGTAGTGCTTCACAGGCATGTCCATGTAGGAGTTCTCCTGCTGCTGCTGCTGTTGCTGTTGCTGCTGCTGCTGGTGGTGCGTCGCATGTTGCTGGTGCTGTTGCTGTTGTGACTTGGGGCTGTTGAGCGGGGGCGAGATCGCGGCCGGGGCAACGGATGCGGGCGCTGAGGAGGAGGAGGAAACGGCTGCAGCAGCCGCTGCTGCCGAGCTAGCTGCGTAGGCCCGGAAGGTATCATCCGCATTGTTCGCCTCGATCAGTGCCTGAATGTGCTGCACCTCTAGATCAAGGCTATGCGAATTGGAGCCACCGGAAGCGGCCAGAGTGTCCAGAGAGGAGTTCACCTGACTGCCACCCTCCATGTTGGCAGCGTGCGTGGGACTCTGGTAGTCATTCGACTGATTGGGTGGCGACAGCGGCAAAGGATTGTCAGCCAGCTCTCCTGCAAAACGATTTAGTTAATAAGTAATTCAAAATATATAAAATGTATATATACGCACCTCCCAGCAACATTTCCTGAAGCAAGGAATCAATGTGGGCCACACCAAAGATCTTGGCAAACTGAATCTGCTCGATCATCTGCCAGGTGATGGACTGCAGAACCGGCAGGATGAGCAGGATCTCGCCAAAGCGACCGCGAGACTCATATTGCCGATCTGATATGTAGTCCTCGAGATTATTGAGTATCTGATGCCGCAGCGACTTAATGCGATGCGGTTCATTCAAGCCCTTGGCATCTGTAGAGATTTCATTTATAAATTACTTAATGCGTCCCAATAGTTAACCACGGGTAAAAACTCACTGGGGTCAAAGAAGACCAATGCCTTGATGCAGGCGAATTCTGTGTCATCGATGCCCACATCCTTCATGACCGTGACCAATTCATCAATGATGCGGGCGCCAATCCGCGAGATGTCCAAATTGGGTGACACAAGGGGATCTACAATGCGAAGTAATAGACGATTTTAAAACGATCAATCTTTTTCTGGTCTGTGAAAAAACGCACCTGGGCAATGTCTGGTGATCACGCAATTGTTGCTCAGCAGCAGGACATCTTTAAGGTGCATAGATCGCCGCGACAGACCGAGGAGCAGATGCTCTCCAGCATGAGCTCTCAGCAGAGCCACTTGGTCGTCCAGCTGGAGCTCGTTGAAGGCCGGGATCTGCTTGGCCCACTCCACCAGGGTAAGCAGCTGCTGCTTCATCGACTCACAGACATCGTTGATGCTGGCGAATTGCTTCGTGGAAAGGTCCTCGTTGATGTTTGGCTCCATGGCAGCACCCGCCTTCGACTGGCGCGACTCATTCTCGGCCTTAACCAGTGAGATCACAGACAGCCCGTTTCCCGGATCCGGGTCGTCGTTAGAGGTCCGCCGGCAGCTGATGCGGTCCCGCTCGTTCTGCACCGCCTCCTTCTTCATGCCGGCCTTAAAGCACTTCCTTAGCCTGCAATAACGACACTGGTTCCTCTTGTCCTTGTCCACCACGCAGTTGCGTGAAAATCTGTCAAAGAAATATATGAAATAAGTAAGAAGTTTCACTTTAAAATAATGTTCTGAATATGTCTCTCAAGGGATCCGAATTAAAAATAGAATACAATTCAAAAAATGTCGGAAGGTTAAAATGGTTTAAACAGATTTACATCTGCATTTACAAACATTGTTTACTTTGTAAGCTGTTTTAGTTTGGAATGAAATTACTTTTTACTTTCACTTTTTAACAGGTGAATACCAACTATTTAGATTATATTTTTTAGCGTACCTGCAGGTGTACTGGTGGTTCTTCCTGACACTCCTTCTGAAGAATCCCTTGCAGCCATCACAGCTCGATGCCCCATAGTGTTTCCCCGTCGCGCGATCTCCACAAATTGCGCAGACCGTCGGCGATTGTTGCTGCTGCTGTTGGTGTTGCTGTTGCAATTGCTGCTGGCTGCTGCTGCCCCCGCTTCCACTTAAGTTGTTGTTGGGCGAAAACATGCTGTTGTTGTTATTGCTGCCACTACTCGCACTTCCGCCTCCTGCGCTGCCCGCATTCCCGTTTCCGTTGCCGTTGCAGAGCGCAAAGTTCTCGCTGCTCTGGTTGCTGCTGTTGCTCAATCCTAGTCCTACGCCATTGGGGCTTAGGGCGTGGCCAATCGGACTGTGGGGCTGCGAGGCAGCCGGATAGCCAGCGGCCAGGGCATCCGCATGCATTATATGGCTTTCCGATTCTGCAACAGAGGAGGTAGAAAAAAGAGAAGTTAAAACGAGGGGCAGGTAACAGTTTTTAATTTAATCTAGTTTATATCCTTTTCTGGCTATACATTAGTATATTGTTTAACGTAATTTTTTACCTACAAATGTTAAACTTATGTGAAGCTCTTAAACATTTTAAATATTGTAAACGTTTCTTAAGGAACGTAAAGCGGTTCGATAAAAAAGTGTCCCGTCATGGTGAGACCCACAGTTTTGTAGCCTTATGGAATGGGCACAGGCACAGTTTTAGAAGTTCTTTTTACAAACGCAAATTTCAATCTGCAGTTTTAAATTTATTGGATAGGCTTTTAAGATGCATTGACGGCCGTTGCACACAAGTAGTAATACAATTTTTATTATAAAAATCTTGCATGACACGAGTTTCAACAAAAAACTACCGTCAAAGCACAAGGTGTATAAAATTACATCTGTACAAGAACCAAAATTATTGATAAATTAGTGTTTTAACTTCAAAAAAATGTTTTCTTTCGTTTAATTTTAAAATGTCTGCAAAAAGAAACGTTTCTTTCTTTCCTTTTGTTAATAAGAATTTGCACAATTTAAGCACGATAAAAGGAACCTTTAGATTCAATTTTTATTTTATCGTTTTCGTCGATGCTTTCAACTTGACCACAGCTGTACAACATTCGATGCAGGGGTCATTAAGTTGAGGTTTTGTAAAAACTAGCGAAAAATCGCGCAATAGCAACAAACAGAAATGGCAAAATAAAAATATAAATAACAACAACAGACCGTCACTTGAGGCAGTTCTGCTGGCGCTGCTGTCGCGCCTGCGTCGACGTCGTCCCGCTGCCTCTACCGCCGCCGACGTCGCTGCAACACCGACCCGCCCACCGCCCACTTTGCCACGCAACAGAATGTTACCAACAGGGACGCGATCGCGACTAGAAATTTTAACTCTACCGGACTTGCGTACCATTTTAATGGAACTGATTAATGAAAAAACACACGACTGGAAGTTTTTCAGTCGCGTATCGTATGTTGTCTTTGCACCTCTCTCGCTCTCTCTCTCTCTCTCTCTGCCACTGCACAGTGGGGTAACAGAGCTTAAATTCTTCAAAAATGTAAAATAATATATATTAATGCTTTTTAACAATTACGTAAGAAATCAGTCATAATAAAATTTCTGTTCCTTTTAACGTACTTTGACTATTGCAAATATTTTCTCAGAAAAATATTTATTAAGTCATAAGTTTGAGTTGACATATTTTGTATGTTATTTTATCAAACCGATGTGGTTTTTTTATTTTCGAATTTCTTTTATATCAATAATCCCTACTGTGCCTAATGCAAGTGTATGCGTTAATCGACGCTTAAATCAAATTCACTGTGTTTGCATATCACGCTCTCTCTTTCTTCCCCAGAGAGAGACCCCAAAACCAGACTTGGGGCTCTCACAAACACAAAGGCACGCAGCCGCAGAGATAGAAATTCATTTGGTGGACAAAAACAACGACATCGGGCAAACGAATAAACAAATAAATAAATAAAATTGTACAAAACAATTTTGTCAAATGATTTACAAAAATATATTTCATCGTTTTTTTCTTTGTAATTTGTAATTTGTAGCCGCTCACACTACAAACATCTTATTTACCATATATTCTTCCACTATATGCGACTCAGTTAATTGGCTGTTTATTTTAAAAAAGTTGTTATACATGTATAAGTGGTAAAATTCCGTTAACGTAAAGTGGATTCTCAAAGATGTTTCCGTATCTATCTTATAAATTTTTGCCTCCCGGGAATTCAGCTTGGGTTAATTAATTGACAAACATTTGCAATTTTAATAGCCTTTTCATGATTGCACTCCAAACAGCAAATTGCCCTGTTTGTTTACAAATTCTCAGACAGTTTAGCACGGCACTCCGACAATTCCGATCGACACCTTATACGTGCACCTTCAAAATGTATCCTCACCGTTCGAAAACTTAACTGGAAATAAGAGCAGTCACTCGATTAAGAGAAGTTTAAATAAAAAAACAGCGTTGGTAATAAACGACAAAAAGTTCTTATCTCTCTGTGTATAGGTGTTCTGTTGTTGTTTTATCACAGTTAATGTTGTTGTTTACCAGTTCCAAAAAAATCAAGGTATACACTGGGACACCAACAAAAAAGGGTAAATAAAAGCATAATACTCGTTTTGCTAACATTTCGCGCATAAAACTTTCTCGCCCCACACTTGCTGTCCCTTTCGCTCACTATCTCCACCTCGCTCGCACACTACCTGGGTGGGGGAAACAGGCCCCGGTGTAAGTTTTTTATATTTTTAGCCAAGTCATCGTTAGAGTTCACTTTTTTTAAAGCTGCGTCATCGTTAGTATTGCAAAAATGTTGGAGCCTCCGATGCCCCACACTGAAGTGGGGGCAAATCGTAATCTGAGATTAGAAAATATCGGATTCTTGATTTGCCAAAAATCACTTGGAGGATTTCATTGCGTGTTATGCCGCAAATACTTTATGGTTCTTGATAAAACGAAAAAGCTGAAAAACAGCAATCAAAATGTATGTACAAAGATTTCCACCTGTTCTGATAAGAAGCTACAAACAAGTGTAGCCAACTGAGAGTGCCATAAAATCACCGGTACCAACACAGTACATATGAGTAACACTTTTATCTATAAGTATTTAAAGATTTTCGCGCTTAATTTTTTTAATTAATATGCCGAACACAATATTGGCGGCAAGCGGGTGACGAGCCCCCGAAACGCCCAAAACGTATAAATAAATAGATCCAAAGAGCGGTTCCGAAACGAGAGAACCGAGCACTTCGCGTTTCGACGATAATTGTTGAACTGACGGATACATCAGTACCATAGCCACTCTTTTCCTCTCTTAAATTTTGGAAATATTTATTAATAACGTTGTTTACTAATATAAACGAATAAACCAACAAAAAAAAAACAATTCAAAAAATATTTTCCAAAATAAAAGATAGTGTTTAAAAATGTAGTTTACGTTTAATTCGAATTTGTTATCTAAACATTTCAATAAGAGTGGTTTGTTGTTGTTTTTATTGACTTTATAGAAATGCTTCATTTTAAGTAAATACTGTGGGAAACATTTCTATAATAAATAGACAGACCTGTAGATATATCTTCTGGCAAACACGAGTGGGTTCGGAACTTTGTTCGAGCTTCGCAAAATTGGTATTTATTTTTGGACACAATGTTGTTTACCGGCTCTATATATATGATTTAAAAAATAAATTTATACAAGCTTATGCTAGAGTATATTGTGAAACTGGCATAAGCAAACTGCTTTGCAGATATAATAGTATCTTACTGATGAAATATTCTCAATTATGTAAAGCTGACGTGTTGAAATGTATTTCCAGACAGCCTTTGTATAAATAAGACCCGATGGATTGTATTAGTCAACCATTAGTCACAAAAAGAATTAAATTTGATAAGAACCATGCAGTTTCCAGATTGTGGATTGTAAATTGAGTACGTTAAATAAAGGCATAAAACAAGAATTCAATTCTGGCAGCTATCAGTTTTCGATATTAATCAAAATTTACGGAATGGTTATAAAAAAGTCAAGGTGCCACATGGGGCTTTTCTTAAATATAGCTGTCATTTAGCCAATGAATAAGTTCAGAATTATTCACTTGATTTGGTTTGTTCAGTCAGCAACTTTTTTTTATAAAGAACTTAGATTGGCAATGTACTATTATAAAGTAAATGGGGCAAAAACAGCCATAAGAAAACGTAACAATTTTGTTAAAACGTTTCGGATTGCTCGGTTTAGGGAAGCTAAATCTAGAAAATCTTGAATACACGCTCAAATGCTCAGATGATTTAATATGTATAAAACGGAGAGAGAGCAATTTAGCAAAGACCTTAATTATTGTTTTGTTTCATCGACAATGCGAACGACTAGCATTAGTCCACATAAGTGTGTAATTTTGAAACCCCTTAACCCCATCTGGCCGCACACACATTTATAGCCCCCAATCGAGGTTTATATAGACTCTTATCGGCGTCGAAGCGCCGCGGCAGAGACTCAATAACGTGCCTAATGGCAGCGAAGCTCCCCACCGCCGCTGATAGCACACACGGCGTATGATCAATTCAGAATCAGCAAGCAAAATGAAAACACTGAAAATCGAAACCGAATCCGAATCCGAAACAATAGCTGCACACACGTTGTCCACATGCGACAAGAGCAATTAGCAAAAATGGAAAAGAAATCAAAGGCGGGGGAGAAAAATTAAAAATGAATCAGCGACCTATCAATGGGGTTTTTGTTGTTCAACTTTTATTTCCTTGTTTACGAAAAGAGAATAAAGGTATTTTTTATATTTTAATTTTAAGTTAAGAAGTTAATAGTCGAATCATTAAGAACCACTTTCGGAATTGTTTTTCAGCTTAGTTCGTTTACATTTAAATTGCATGTCAGAGATCAAATTCAATAAATATGCGTAAGACGGACGCCGCAATATATTGTCTAATTGCCAGGTAGGAATCTGCTTGGGAAACAAACACATAGGGGCTGCATATAGAATATTATTATCAGTAGCTTGCGCAGCTGCATGCACCCACCCACGATTTGAGCTCATGACAACGCCCTGAAATGATGCAACTGCCAAGGTTGTCTGTTCTAACCCTTTAGTATAATCACCGGGGTTCCGGAGCTTCCTTGAACTTGCAAGATTTTAGTTCATTAAGCGACTTAATGGCATTCGTTATTTCTGGAAAGCAATTGTCTTTGCCTCCTCCTGTAATTTAAGGTAATAATTTTGACCCGGCCACCATAAGGTTGTATTTAATTTTCCCTAACTGCGATTGCAATCCCGCAGTCTGTCAACATTCCGACATAAACATTGTATGGGCATAACCAGAAAGCCAAAATTCCAATCTCAGCATTGCATCATGCAGGAAAAAACAGATGGGAAATTTAGAGTCAGAGTTTTGATGGAGCAAACACTTGTGGGTGGAAATATCTGTGA